AAAAAAAAAATAATAATAATAATAATTATTATTATTAATAATAGATAATAATGAAAATAATGACGAAAACAAGCGCTTTAGTTGAATTTTTTTTAATTTCACGAACAATAGGTACAGTAAAAAAAAAAAAAAAAAAAACAAATCCGAACAGAATCTGAGTTTGTAGTATTGTAACAATTGTTGTTGTAATATTCCTGTTAAGTGTCTAGTCGAAAATGTGTAACGTGTTAGACGGTCTAGTATTAATATTATTATAGTGTAGAGTTACCAAAATGACGTCGCTTTCGCTTACAAAGCATATTACGTAAAACATATATATCAGTTTTTTTTGTGGAAAAACGAATAATACACGAAAAAAAATAACGAAGCGTATAAAATACCTAATGTGATCTTTTTTTCTTAAGGAATAAAAACCAAAAAAAAAAAAAAACCAAAAAAATAAACGCTTGACTCAATCACTTGAAAATCGCACAAATTTTGTAACGATGCATTTTTATTGGAAAACAACCATTTAAACTCGTCCTATACGCACTGTTATTTTTAGATTCAAAATTTGTACTACTGAAAAAAAAAATTATCGAAAAATCGTTTTGTTACACTTTTGAATATTGTTGAGAGTTTTAAGATTTAGAAAATATTGTAAAAAAATTGTTAATTGATGGATGATAAGTATTGTGTAAACACCCTATTACCTATAATTTTTTGCTTAAAGGGTTAACAAAATATTGTTTTTACGCATACTTTTTAAGAGACGTTATTATTATTATTATTATTATTGTTTCGGGGTAAATTTATACTAAAAAAAAAAAATAATAACCAAATTAATTTAATTATATTGTTATCTGCTGTATCTGAGACAAGGACAACGCTGAATAATGTAAACAAAATATGTATGCGACGTTTTTCGCACCGGCATGTCCTTCCCTCTTTGGCGGTACGAAAATTGTCGGATAATATTGCCTACGAATATTTTTTAATAATGTACATTTCATATTTTGCAATAATTTGTTTGTCTCTTTAATAAAAAAAAAAAACGAGAAAAACACGCGTTTTACTGTTATTTGAAACCGCATTTATTCCCTTCCCGTATGTCCTGTATATAACTCATTGGTATGTTTTCTGCGCCTGCCGAAAACGCATCACCCCCATTATTAATTAGTGTTATCCACGACGCCCCGTATTATTTAAGTTGAAACTAAAATATTATGTACAATGTTTTTATCTTTTTACCGAAGTATATACAGGGCGATCAACAAAACATACTCGTTCCACGTCGAAACGAAAAAGCGGAATACCTCGTTAATTGGTTAACGATAATATCAATACTAAACTAATACCACATTGATTTATGGAATTTTTAACATAGGTTACCATTTGAAAATTAACAGCCCCGTAAAATAAGGAGGATAAAAAAGTACAATGTAACATTTTAGAGTTATTATAATTTTTTGAGTGTTCTAAAAAGCTGATTCCGGATAAAGTAAATACTTTCCGAGATAATGAGTGTCTTGCGTGGTATTAATCAACCTGTATATACTTCGATAGTAAACTGAAAACATAAAAAATGTTGTATCGGCGTGGTATAATATATATATATATATATATATATATATATACAGGGTGAGTTCGCTTAGTGAATCATTCTGTATATATACCTATATATTATATGTGCTACAGCTAAACCCTGTAATGTTAGTTGTACGAGGTCTGGCTATTAAATAACGATACTGGTTACGAAAAAATGTTTTATTATAAAAGTTATTCTACATTCAAATGCTCCCCTTCAATATACTCCCCTCCCTTCGCCACACACCGTTTCATTCGTTTCTTCCATTGCTCGAGGCAGTGCTGAAAGTCTGTTTTCGTAAGACCATTCAGGAGTTCCGCCGATTTTTGATTCACCTCTTCCATCGACTCAAACCGGATTCCTTTTAAGGCAGACTTTATCTTCGGAAACAAGTAAAAGTCGCAGGGTGCCAAGTCGGGTGAGCAAGACGCGTGTTCGAGTACTGGAGTGCCTTAAGCGGCCAAATAACGCTTCACGTTTTATCCAGGTGTAAGATCCACGACTTGTTTTTACACAATATCGACCGTTTCTTACGAACTCATTCGCGCAATGTTGCCAAAACTGTCAAATAGTAATGTTGGTTCACAGTTTGACCCTCTGGAACCCATTCAGTCATCACGATGCCNCATCGACTCAAACCGGATTCCTTTTAAGGCAGACTTTATCTTCGGAAACAAGTAAAAGTCGCAGGGTGCCAAGTCGGGTGAGTAAGACGCGTGTTCGAGTACTGGAGTGCCTTAAGCGGCCAAATAACGCTTCACGTTTTATCCAGGTGTAAGATCCACGACTTGTTTTTACACAATATCGACCGTTTCTTACGAACTCATTCGCGCAACGTTGCCAAAACTGTCAAATAGTAATGTTGGTTCACAGTTTGACCCTCTGGAACCCATTCAGTCATCACGATGCCGTTGATATCGAAGAAAACGGTTTTGAATTTGGATTACGACTGAATTGGATTCCGGTGCACTCTCGACCTTTAGAAAATAATTTACGCCACTCAAAAACACACGCTCGAGATAGGAAATCCTCACTATAGGCCTCTTTTAACAACTTATAGCACTCAGTTGGAGTTTTGTTTAGTTTAACGAGAAAATTTTACGTTTATCCGTTACTCGTGTTTTTCGTCACACATGGTTTTCGGCACGAGAAAAAAACACGTTCGTTTCAAACCACTACTGCACAAATACTATAATAGTGACGAAAACGTGTTTTGGTACGTGCATAGATAAGATATCTAGATACCCAACGCATTACTCGTTTTTTTCACTACCCATCTAGGGCACCCTCCAAGCGAGCAGTCTCGTTGTTTAATAGCCACACCTCGTATAGTAAAATCAATAAGAATAATACGTATCACGAAATTGTATTAACTATGTAACCTATTTTTCGGGACATTTTTTATTTATAAAAAGTTCATTTTTTTAAGAAGCTCTGGTACAGCTTCAAAACTTTGCTGTGGTGCATCTTATGCCTTGTAAAGTAATCCATTTTTGAGGATTATATTTTTTCTGGAAAGATAAAAGCGTTTCAACTTGTTTTTATTGTCCTTTTCATACCATTATTTTTAATCAAAGAACAATGCTGGTTGTAAAATGTTATTGTTTATCAATTGAAAACAAAATGGCAGACAAATATTATATTAATAATGAGCTATCTTTTTTCTTGCAATATTATTTTTAGTATTTCATTTATTTATAAGATCAGTGAAATTATGTTATCTTTGAGTCATTTTTAATTTTTGAAAATCGGAGAAAATGTATAAACACCGGAACCAGCCTTTTAACTAATATCTTACTTGTATTCATATTTATACTTGAAATAACCATTACACAGTTAATACTTGTTGCCNTATTTTGCACTTTACTAATCAAAATTTAATGATTAATAAATTAACAAGAATACATTTATGCTTAATATAATGTTGTAGGAATATACAGATTTGTCTATTAAATTTGCATGCAATTTAGCATGTTGGTTATGCTACAAAACCGACAGACTCAAATTAGTTTAAACCGAATTAGTTCATTTATACCAACGGTATAAATACCATGTTACATTCTACATAAATACCAAAACGATTTTTTTTCAATTACTAATTCAGGAATCGCAATTGCCTCGGAAAAAAATTATTTAAACTTGTTTAAAGGTAATTGCAAATTAACAAAATTGACCGTATTGAATATTGTACAATTTTAACTAAGGCAGTATGAAAAAAACGATTCCTGAAATAAAAATTCAAAAAATATATCGAGTATTAGTTTAAATAAATTTTGATATTTACATTTTTGATTTCTATCTACCTGTTGACATTCCGCTTTTAGGTTTGGTTAAGGGGTGAGTAACGGAGTACCTATCATTTGTGTGGGAACGCGGCCTCCGGGGTTTGAATAGCTCTCCACAACTCTACAACTCGCTTCCTACCGAGAAAACGGGAAACTTATAAATGGAATATCTAACCTCGGAAATTCAAAAGTACTTTAGGTGCCTAAGTGATTTGAATACTCTTTTAGAATATTTAAAACCCGTAATTTCCTGCAAAAACGTAGAATTGTTAATATAATAAACAAGGTAAGGGATGGGTTAAAATTGAAATCGCCATCGCATCCTTGATCTGATGGCATGCGAATACGAAATATCATCTTCCTGGCTAAATCATTTTGGGATATTTCAAGAGTGGTTAATAAAGCCTGTTTTTAGATGTTAAACAGAGTGAGGAATATTCTGGTTTCACTATGATGTTTATATTTTTATTTTATTTTTATCTGTGAACAACTATTCTACCAAAAATTTTGCTCTGATATACAATCATAGCACTTTTTCTGAAAGGAAATCTGAACTTTTGGGAGATATTTTTTTTATTTTCATCAGCTGTTTTCATACTGAATGTAAAAAATCGGGAAAAACCGGGAAAATAGGTACAATATTAAACAAATATTATTAAAGAAAATATATAATGCATATTATGTAATTATTTTACCAGAATATCACATTTATATTGTTGACAAAGCAACACTATTAACCGAACTCCACTCAGAATCATTTTTCGTTAGCAATGAATAATCATTGAGTATAGATAAACATTAAATTTCCCCTCTACCTTCTCGACTTTTCATCTACAACAGTAGCCCACCTATGAGCGAAATATGTCCATCTTTTTTTTTTATTTTACCAACAGTTTAATTCATACAAATAATGTTATCACTGTTGTTTCAATACGAGCATACGTAATGACAAAGCTATAATACATCATAATTTTATCACACCTAATCGTTACATAGCTACAACGAATTTGTTACTTTATCGACAGCTGAATTTTCGTTTTAAAACTGTATTATCAAAACGGGAAGAAAAAAAAATCGAATTAACCGTTTAAAATATTTTTATATGGACTACACGGCCATGGCACCGTTCGAAGTGGACGTGGACAACTGCTGCATTGATTGTCAAAACAAAAACTCCGTTGGGTTTAACGATGCCCAAAAACAACAATCGGTTCCATCTGAAATTCTCCAACACAACTACAGTGCTCCCTCCACGTCCAAAGGTTTGACACACGATAAACGGTCATTATGTACAGAAGACATTAATAACTGCGCTCAGATCAGGTAGGTAGCCAGGTAGAGAAGATAATAATAATAATTGTTACGCATTGTTACACATAAGAACCGTGACGCTGTAGATTTGATCGAATATGACAGTGTGTTCTTTGTGCCCGACCTGTTAATAGGAACATGACGTTTGTGAAAAATTGTTACAAAAATGTGCCCGCGCCGTCAGAACAGTTTCTGGCGGGCGTCAACTGTGCGATAATCAAAACTTTGCGGGAAATCGAACAAAACCACAAGTTGTGCGCTATTAAAAAACGTCCCGGCAAACACAAAAGCCAAAACTGAAACCCAATAATAATCGTACGAATACGGTTAATACGGTTTGCACGTGCTATGTTTCGAGTAGTCATGGAACGTGGTTCAATCATATTGTTAGTGCAGAAGATTTTTGATCGAATAATATTATAACTTTATTTGTAATAAATTACGAAAATAATATAGTTTTATGATATCGGTGGCACTAATAAATTGTATAAACCGTGGCGTTGAAATCTCTTGTTATTAACATAAACAAAACGATTTTCAACTTCGTTTTGAATTCCGTATGTAGTTAAGAATCAATTTATTTTATTTTAAAATAAGTTTTTCATTGTATTTTTACTATAAAACGCGGTTTTTTTCTCCCGGAAAACACATTTTCGATTAGTGAAAATGCCTTGATTTTATCATTAAATTTCTTAAAATATCCTAATATTCAGCCTGGTGATGCACGGTGCTTTGTTTGAAATAATTTTTTTTTCCGAATTCTCAATCGAAGACAACTTTTCGCATAAGTAGTGTTCCACACAAACAACCTGGTTTCCAACCTGTAACTTACCTGATTTTTGTCTGTTTCATTTTCATTTGTAATCCTGTCGTTTTTTTTTTAAAAAAAATTAGACAATAACATTTCCAAACTCTCTTCAATATTATTATAGGCATTTATTTAACAATTTAACAAAAAACTTTCAACGTTCCGGTACGTAATAATGCATGTATAAGCAAATATTTAAAAACTTAATACATTTTTAAGTTCAATAGACACCTATTGAACATCTGAATTTCACCAAAACAACTGTGATTGATTATAATCAATTTTGTCTTGCATACAGAGTGTCCCACACTTGAAATAAATTTTCTTCTATTAAATGTAAATTATAACAAATTAAATAACAATAATGTAGGTAATTATAATATTAAATAATATTTAATTTAATATTTAATATGCCACTACGGTTAAACATTTTTCATTCCAAGTTTTCTCACCTAAAAAAATGTTTTTTTAATATGTTAATAACTCTAACGCATTGGCGTACTAATCATTTTAAAAGATGTATGTATACACATATACATACCTTATTAAAACTATTAAATAGAAAAAAATTGAAAGTTATTTCAAGAGTCAGATCATTGTGGGACACCCTGTAAATATCGTTATGTATAATATAATTTTGATTCTTATTACATTAATAAAATTATGAGAATTGGAAGAAAAAAAATTACATCATCATACTAATAATAACAATAATATTCGTCGGGTGGGTATAGTTGTAGGTAGGCCGTAAAGAATAAATACCGGTCAACGAACTGGTATTACAAATATGTGTATAAAGTCATAATTGTTCGAGTGATAGTAAAAAATAAATTTAAAAAATGTACAAAAATACGAAGCAGGCACGTAGCCAGGATTTTCCCACGATGGACGTGGGACAGTATCAATCTTGAGGTAGAAGTGATTATGACCCGATAACCGCCTCTCCAAGGTTACGCTACTGATATGAAGCACCAATCGTATGTTTTTTCTTATATTATAATAATCAAAAACTATACAACTTTCCAATAATCATAAAATATTGTAAAAAATACATTTTTTTTTTTTTTTGCAAGTCTCGTGGACGTATTAAAATATCTATATAGCATATACAATGTATATCATATATATATATATATATATATATAGATAATACATAATGGATAGGTTTGTGTTGACCTGTTATATAACGTTCCCGAAAAAAAGATAGCAATGTCAAAAATCGTATTTTCTATCTTACTCACCAATAAATCGACTTTTCTTCCATGAATTTTTTGGCATGTGTTTAGAGAGAACTGATATTCGTGAGTAAAACAGAGGGTTCAGAAATACCAGAGATTATAAAATATATATATATATATATATATATATATATATATATATTAGAGTCGGGTGGTTCTTATTTGGGTGATGGTAGAATTTCCTTTTGGATGACCCTTAACTTTATTCTAAAAAAAAAAAAATAAAAACATTTAAAAATATACCACTTTCTTTCACATAATTCTCAAAAACTTTTTTTTTCCCCACATAAAGTATCTTCTTCTCGATAATTTCCATGCGAGAAAAATATCGTATCAATTAATTTTTTATACCTTATATAAGTAAAATTCAAAAAAAAAAAAAAAACGAATAAACCAATGTATCTTAAATGGGGAACTAAAGTTTAAACCTTGTACGAGGAAATCCTCGTTAGAGCAGGACGAAATAATTGTCCTAGGAAGCTCAATTAGGACTCAAGATTTTTATTTTTTTTTTTTTTTTAAACAAAATTAGGGGGCGTCAAAAAGAAAAATTCCACCATCGCTCAAATAAGAACCACCCTAATATATATATATATATATATATATATACATATAAATATAAAAATAATTTGTATATTATTTATTTTCGATGTTTTAGACGTCGGCGAGTCTCGAACTCTTCGACGATGACCTCGAATGTATGACCACCTTGTGACCGTTCTTCGTGACGAAACCGTCGCTTTCGACCAATACCGCGGTCTCGCGGCCGTCAGCCGATATGGCCCCGTCGCTTCTGGTATCATCAGTGATCATCCGCTTCTCTTTGGCCGCCTTTGAATATTTGCGCCAAAAGTTTTGTATGGTCGTCGCGCAATACACCTCGTGCATGCGCCACAGCGTCGAGCTGATTGGCTCGTAGTCCGTCTCCTCCGGCCGTTGCTGTATCTGCTGGATTTCGGCAACGGACTCGATAATAGGGTTGCCCTTGCGTGCGAAAAAGTCTTTGGTCAGTGCGTCCAATATGTCCACGCAATATATGAGCTCGCCCTTGCATATCGGTATAGCCATAGATACTATCTTGTACTTGTTCGGCTTATGGATCTTGAGCGGTGGCTCGAGTATGTCCAGAAAATCGGACAACTGATCGTACCGGATATACCGGGTGCCGTCCGGGTCGAAATGCTGCCATATCTCGTAGTACATGTCGTAATCGTCGTCGGTCAGACCCTCCTGCACGTCTTCGGTGGCCTGCGAATAGTTCTCTAGAATCACTGCGATATACATGTTAATCACGATCAGGAAGTTGATAACCAGGTACGAGAGCAAGAATACCGTGCCCACGGTCGTGTTACCGCAATTGCCCGTGATACCCATCTCCGTATTAGGCATTTGACAGTCCTCCTCGTTCGTTATACCGTCCAGCACCGCGTCCCAGCCTGATGACGTGGACAACTGAAAACATTGCGTTCAGCGGTTAACAAATTTCTATAAGTACTGGCACGCGGAAAGAGGCGTGATCATTTGGACGTAGTTTTATTAATAATTGTCGTCGACGAGTATTGGGCTAATTTTACTTGTGCATAAAATAACATAAAAACATTATTCGAAGATTCGTATTATATTCAACTGGATTAAAATGTTTTGACTATTGCAATATTACCGTCAAATTAGCCACGTCTAAACTTTCTAGATCAACTAACTAGGACCGTACCATGGTTACTACAGTAGAACTATAGTACCGCAAACTGATCATACAGCGGCGGTTAGCTACTTACCATGAAAAGAAGGATCATCGATTGGCCGAACGTACGAAAGTTATAGTCATCATCCAAGCCGCCGTGGGGTTTTACGTTCATAAAGAACGACATACCAAATATGGCGAATATGAACATAACCAAAAACAATAACAGGCATATATTGAACAAGGCCGGGAGAGACATGGCCAATGCGAACAGCAGAGTTCTAATACCTTTGGCACCTTTGACCAAACGTAAAACTCGGCCCACTTTTGCCACTCGGACCACTCGAAGAAGAGTCGGTGACACGAAATACTTGGAGATTAAATCACTCAGCACCAAACCTAAGGTTGAACACAATATAAATCACGAAACAGCCGTTAAGGTACAGTTATAAACAAATTATATTTTCATATGTATTCAATATTATTGTTACCCGCCAAGGAAAGGATGACTACGATGAAATCGAACAAGTTCCACGGCTCCTTGAAGTAATAATACCGCAGAGCGAATATCTTGAGTAAACATTCACCCGTAAATATCACAATAAATATCTGATTGAGACGTTCCAGCACATCCGTAAACAACTTGTCTTGTTGATAATGGTCAAGCGTCATCGTCAACATGTTCAACCCGATGAACAACATGATGAGCATGTCAAATTTTTTGTCCGTTACAATTTGGAAAACGATCGATTGCGGCCGCCACTAAATCACGCAGAATTTTTACGGTGTAAATAAAAAAAGTGAATAGTTATCGTAAAAAATTGTACGTGTTACCCTAGGTCTAGGAATGGCTTTCAGTGGTTTTTTAGAACTCATTTTTTTCATGGCGTTGTAATATTTTTTTTGGTCCTCCGTCATAAACATTTCGAGTGATGCGCCTAAAATTGTATTAATGCACAATCGGTTAAAGAGTTTTAAAAATCCAAGAAATTTGAACAATAATCACGATTGGAATAAAATTTTAATAAAAATTGCAATCGCTACCTCTGTTTTTTTTTTCATCTCCTTTGCCTCTCTTCCCAACTTTTTGAGGTCCATCATTTTAATCCTAAATCTCCATCTGACACTTTCTCACATATCATCTATGCATTAACTGTTAGAGACTATCTTTTCTCATTCTGACAATTTCCTGTCCTTTCTTACTCATTCATTTGCAAAATCGTTCTTACAAACTTATTACAACCTCCGGCTAGATTCTGTTCATCACAATATGTCCAAACCACTCAAACATAATATTCTCTTACATCAAAGAGTAGTGTAGTGTCTATAGATATATTTATACTATAGTATTGTAATTATTATTACCTGTTTTTTTCTTTTGTTCGTTAAAATTGTCAATAATCACACCAATAAACAAATTAAGTGTGAAAAACGAACCAAAAATTATAAAAAATACGAAATAAAAATACATATAAATATTTTTTTCACGAATCGGTTGTTTCCCGTAAGCCTGGAAAAAAAAAATGATTTTTTTTGAGACAATATTTTGATCGTTTATAAAACGAAATATACTAATATTATGTATACATTTTTAAACATTTCAATAGTCAATAGTGAAATATACACTTACGTCTCTCGAGTCGACGGCGTCTCTCATTATTTCCATCCATCCGTTAAATGTAGCCACTTGGAAAAGACACAGATATGCGTTTCCCACGTGGTCAAAATTCATTTTAGAGTTTGACCATTTGTAACCTTCAGACAGACAGACATTTTTGTCTGGTATGATTTCGTGATTTAACGTTTTTCCGAATTTATCAACACACTAAGAAAACACAAAATATTTACAGGTAAAAATATTACTTTCGTTGGCGCGTCACGTCAGTTCTGTCCCAATTTAATTAGGTACGTCTTTTCAACAAGCAATGCGACAATTTTCAATTTAGAAATTTACAAATGGAAAGCGCCTACACTTATGCCGCTAGTTACAATAATGTACTCCAATATTGCGTATAGGTAGGGGAATGGATAATTTAATTTTTAACGTTTTACCTTGTAATATTTCCCGGCGAAGAGTTGTACGCCCATTATGGCGAATATCAGCCAAAATATCAGACACACCAACAACACGTTGAAAATACTCGGAATGGCCTGTACCAACGCGTTTACGACCACCTGATATGTATATATATAATACGACAGTTTATTATACAACGATACAATATAACAGCATAATTATTAATATTATTATTATTATTTTTTTTTTTTTTTTTTAATAAAATATAATAACATTGTAATATATCGATAAAACAAAATTCGATCAAAGCAAAACATGCCTTATAACGTAAAGTGCGTACATATAATAAATACCATGCGCGGCACGCATAATGATTTAGTCACACGGCGTACGCCACAAGCCAAACACGGTGCAAAAAACAAAACAAAAAAAAAAAAAAAAAACATCGAAAATAGCGTCATAAGGGTATGCGGGTTTTCATCTACTCATACAGTATTATTTATTATTGTATGTATCGAATGGCAGCCAATTCCGTACGGTTCAAACGATTTGTCGTTCGAGTGTTTTGCCTGCGCACGTCGGAGTGCGTAACGTAACGTAACGTACGCAGACTTGGTATAACTATATTATAGCTATAATAAAAAAATTGTATATGTACACATTGCTATTATAATATATACCTAATCAAAAATAATAAAAATTACGACATAATCAGTGTTAAAAAAAAAAAAAAAAAAAAAAAAAAAAAATAATAATATACTGGATCATAAAACGTAAGTATTTGATAGTATTGTAATATTTGTCGATCACGTACCCTCATACCCTGCATTCTAGCCATAGCTCGCAGTGGCCTCAAAGCTCTTAGAGTTCGCATAGTTTTGAAAGCTTGGATTCCACTGGCTCCCAACAAGGCAGCGACAAAATTTATCAGAGATACCTGTGTGAAGTAGAGCCATAGAAAACGCACACATAACAAAGTTATAGAGCAGAAAAAATAATAATAAAAAAAATAATATTGATGGCCGTAGGTATAGTGTTAAATTGATATGTATTGCATATTGTCATTCAAAAAAAAAAAAAAAAAAAAAAAAAAAAAAATAAATATGGTTGATAATAATGTTATAAAATCGACGGTAAATATTTCAAAACCTATAATAAAAGTCGACGGGGAGGAAAATCGTTCTATAGCACTACAGTGTTGCGAATAATTTATTTTTGTTTTTTATGAACTCAATTTGATATCGTATACCATCTAAATGGTCTAGTGTAGCGTTCGGGGACAAATACCGATACTCTAATTATATAATACACGTGTAATATATATTATATATACGTATGTATATAGGAATAAATAATAATAATATAAAAAAAAAAAAAAAAAAAAAAACAAAAAAAAAATTCGATCGGTATGCAGGGCACCCTACAGCTCCTCGGTCGCGGTCTTCGGATCGATTTATCCGTTATTTATCTGACTATCCGTCCGAAAGTGCATAATAATATTATTATACATTTGGTTTAACAGTAATAAGGGTGGGTGTTTTTTTTTTTTTTTTTTAATTTTTTTTGTTTTTTTTTTTTTTTTTTTTTTTTTTTTTTTTTTTAATCTAAATACATTTTTATATTATTTTATTGGTATATAGTATAGGTAACAGCCAGAGGACGTCCCCGACTGCCAGTTTTGCCACGAAACAAATGCACACGCATACGCACACAAAACATCCCAGGCAAAAAATCACTGCAAGTCAATTAAATGTATTAGGTATAATATAATTATAATAATAATTTTCAATCTTCGTGTAGCAGCGGATATGGCTTTGTATTTGTTTTTTGTGGCCATTAGAAAAAATAAAAAATAAATAAATAATATATAACAAACGCATCAATAGAATATAATAATATATATACACAATGAAAAAGAAAATAACACAGATAGTGAGTATACAATAAATCATATATAATGTCCATCACATCACACATTTTCCGACAGGCCGCGGTACTTACTCTCATACCCTCCCAACGAGAAACCGCTCTCAGGGGTCTTAAGGCCCGAAGAGTTCTCATTGACCTGAATGCTGGTATATCGGCGAACCCAAACCAAATCGCTGCCAAGTTTACTAATGACAACTATTATACAAGACAATATTTTATAGAGTCCAAAATGTATGCATGTAGGTAGGTAGGATATAGGTACAAAATCGCGACGAAGAACGGTGAACGTGTTAATAAATTATAATACTTCTCACGAAAATGCGGATCGAATCATGACTGATTGCACATTTTGTATACAATTTAGACGAACAGATATAACGTTGTTATTTTAAACGGCGATAAATAAAATAAACAGTTCAAAATCAAAATGCGTATCATTTCACTTTACCATGACGATTATGAAGTCCAACCAACACCAGGCGTTCGTGAAGTAGTTGTGAAAACCCAACGCCAACCACTTGATCAACATCTCCAAAAAGAATATAACAGTGAATATCCGATCCATGTAATACAAAATGTCTTGCAACACCGGTCGATGTTGAAGGTGTACGTCCTCGAGTGCCTAAAAAACATTATTATTACATTTTTTTTTTTTTTTTTTTTTAGGTTTTATATTTTTCTTAAAATAGTCCAAATTGAATAGTTTGATATTTTATAAATATAAAAGTAAATAGTAGGTATCAAGAGTTCTTTCAGAAAACAAATGTTTCTAAGAACTCACAAAGAAACCACCGGAAACGCGAACCCTGTTGAGTATTATGATAAATTGATAAAGTTAGAACACCTATTTATTTACATTGGTTAAACGTAAGTATGTACGTACGAGCGCAAGACTGCTGAGTAGAATCATAGTGATGACAGCGGTTTCGAAATATTTGTTCTCGATAAGTTGAAACGTTTTCAGTCTGAGTTGGGCCCAACCAAGCCAAAACGGGGTTTCATCGTCGCCAGCTAAGAACGGAAATCTTTTGTAACATTTTGGTGAAAAACAGTCTTCGGGATATTCTTCTTCTTCCAACACGTCTTCAACCATTTCCATTTCTGGTTCCTTTTCTTCTTCGTTGGGTCCTTCCGCGGGAATTCCGTCATTTTCATCTGTACCCAAAAACATAGTACTGGTATTAAATTCAAAAAATATATTTCACATAACAGCTTTTATCATTTGACCGTTAACCAATCAGGGTATAAAGCAATTAAACATCGATTGAATATTTTATGGTTACAAAACATCGGTTAATTTTTCGAAACGTCGGATAATTTAACTTTTAGAATTAACCGCACCGGATGTTTCATCACAAAAACATTCATATTTTGGGCAGCATGGTTTAATATTTTTTACGAGAACTGTAATATTCATGATAGCTAAATATATTAAATTGGAGGATTGAAAATTGAGATTTAGTGTGAATCCCCCTTAAACCATTTAAATCACCACGCACCTTGTTGCTCGGCATTGACGTCTTCTTTGCTAAGATCCTTCTTCTCTTCGAAGTTGTGCAAACTCCTTTTACTCCCTCTGTGGCTCTCGCTGTCGAAAGGGTCGTGTTCGTGACTTCCGTACGATTTTGTACTATTGAAACAATAATTATTATTCCACTATAACTTTTTAAAATTGTGTCTCCGTTCGAGTTTAAAATTAAAATCTATAAACGATTATAATTTTAATTTTATAAAAATCTATTTTTGTTTCAATAAATTATAATAAATAAGTGTAGGTAGTAAATTTACAATATAAATAATAATTAGTACTTGATAACACTGATTGACGTGTCACAGTAAATCAAAAAGGTATACGGCATTTGGATTGAAAGAGTGAGTAACCACACTTTTGAGTAAATGTATATTTCTTAGCGTTAGGTGTATACAAATGATAATTGTATCAAAACAAAAATTAAAATATAAGGCTACCTTCTAGTATCATACTCGTATTTATCTCTGAAGTAATAATTTTCGTCAGTACTGCTCTGATGCATGCCAAACGAATTGTACGAAGTACTCGTCGGTGGTATCTTTTTTTTGGTTTTGTCTCCTCGTATAAGTAATTCCATTCCATCTCCAATAGTCACGTCGAGCTGTTCTTTTTTATTCCGATAGATAATTCCAGCGTCTAACAGCTCCTCTGAACACACCCAAATACGTAAAATTCACCGAGTAAAATACAGACTACCATAGGCGCAATAAGGGACTTAGGGGTGATTAAAATCACCAAAATAGTTTTTTGGCACCCCCAAATTATTTGACTGATTTTAAATATTCCCAAGTAATAACAAAACATTTAATTCGTGTTGAGTAATCATTTATTTTCCAATACAAAAATAAGTGTATATACATTCAATATTAGTGTGTATTGAGGAAATTTTTTTTTTAATATTTGCTCAACATTAAATTTATTAATATAATATTTATATTTATTATTATTATTCATATTAATTGTTCATATAAATATTTTATATTTAATGTTGTTATAGTAAATAAAAATGAACATAACATCTAAAATATTATCTTTTAATTGATAATACATTTTATGATAAAATTAAAAATTAAATATTTGTTTATAAATATATATTGAATATTTTCAATCTATCAATTACAAATATTAAATGTAAAATTTAGTAATAGGTACACCTAAATGGCTAAAAATTGAATGTTGTAAAATATTGACATTTTTAATAAAAAAATAAATAATCCTACAATTCAAGGTAAATGTGAACTTCTTTGTTATAAGAGTATGAAAGTGTAAAACTTTAGCTCGCTGTAAAACCGTAATCTAACTCCCTCCCCCCTCCCCCAAAAAAAAAAATAATTTTTTTGTAAACGCACAATGTACGCATTATAATAGATGTACACAACATTTTACTACTTAAAATGCAGTTAAATTCAATAACATAGGTAAAATATAATTAAATTATATTAATAAATTATTTGATTTAACGAATATTTGAATATTGTATTGAATAATAATATGGATATATTTCAGAGTTTTCAGCTTTTTAATTGATTATACGGCTCCTGATATTTTACCTAATGCCACCTTCATTAGTGGCCCACTTATTTTGCGAAGTGTGTCACGCTTTTTATAGAAAAATTTAATATGAAGTGTAATAATATTGATAATCTAAATATCACCTAATATATGGAGTGAAAGGCGTTTACAAGGGGGAGAGTGGATGATATGAAAAGTCAACCCTCCCTCCATTGATTTTATTTTTATAACTGTAACATTTATTAACGTACCTTATTCTGTATATATATTTTAAAAAAACTTTCCACCCCTCACCCTCAACACAAACCAAGACTTGCGTATACGTAGAGATGCAAAAATACTGTTCTTTATTTTAGGTTTTATAATACAGTATATTATGCTCTAGCCGAATTTGTGGTACGAGTCAATCAAAATCGTGAATTTTTTTTCGTCCAATTTCACTGTATACTAATTTATACTCGTATACCTATTATAGTTTTGACGTATAAATTATAACTCTTACAATTTTTATACTTCTGTATTTATATATTTTTACATCACTTTTATCTAGTTACGGTGAAATGTAATGTTTAAGTAAGTAACTAATAACTAACAAGTAAAATATATAAAAAGTAATAAATATTTATTAGAACATTTTAAAAAGTATAAACTATATAGTTCAACACAAACAAAGTTTACGATAAATCGATACAACTGAATTAAGATACAAATTTTACAGGTTGTTCATCGAAAAACCTAATAAGAAAATTTTTCAATAAATTTTTCGGTATTTTTTGTAATTAATTGTAGATTTGATGAATATGAGATGCAAAGTTCTTAAAAATGTAAAAGTTCTACAAACAAAAATATAATAACAACTTAATAGTTTTCTATTAAAATATCTGTACTATAAAAACATTAACATTTAATCTATGATAGTAACAAAAAAATACTACTAATAATAGTTTACATTTTTTTACTGTAGCATTTTAGTATAACTCATAAACCAAATACAAATGATTGACTTATTGCTCAATAAAAACTAATATAATAATAACTCAATCAATATTGCATTTTAGAGTAGTGACCTTAGTATAAATTTATTTTATTTTTAATTAAGTTACAATAAAACGCTTCTTAAATACAATTTACATCTCTAAGTATACGCCAGTGATTGCTATAAAAGTGTTTTACAAATTTATATAAGTTTTGTAATGTTATACAAACACACCCAGAATTTGAAGTCTTGTTGCGCCTATGACTATTATACAATAAAAAATAGTATAATATATTCAACACTCACCGCTGCTGTACGTACTCATCTTGAACTGAGCAATCGACTAAACCTCACTGACGACGTTTATGATTGAATCATACGTGTATTAAAAACATATTAAGATATTAAGACACACGGAAAAATAATACATTTTTCCGGAAAAACGTATAGATAAGTACACAACGCGAAAGTTAACCTACATTACCAGCTGGACTGACTGGCGAGCGCACTATTGATTTTCTTGTTACTCGGAGTGTTCACGGCGAGCGCTACACGGGGTATGTTTAATTCCACTAAATACAAAAAACATTGTTTTTTTTTTTTTTTTTTTTTTTTTTTACGAATAAAAAACATATACGGGAATAATCGCTACCATTAACAAGTTAACTTCAGTGTTATATATTTTTTTTCACATAGGTAACACTATTTAATCACGAAAAAATAGACTAATGTTATATAAAATAAACTAACTTCTAATTTTGTTTTTGTTAATTATATTACATTAATTACGTGTTTTTTTTCTCAAACAACACTTTTACGGTTAAAAAAATCGTCAAGAATGCCCTTTTCTTACCTGATTTTGCTTAATTTGATTAATTAGTCGAAATTTGGTGAATGAAATTCTCCGATTTTTTTAACGTACCTAGTCTCCAATTCAATTTTGCTCCGATTTACAATGATAGCACTTTTTCTAAAAGAAAATCTGACTGGAAAAGTACCTATTTTAGGGGGGGGGGTCATTTTTCGATTCTCCCAAGATTCTTCTCAGTAAATTTGAAAAACCTGGGAAAAACCGAGAAAAACGTACGAAAAGCAGGAAAATTAGATCAATATTAATCAAATATTATTAAAAAATATATATAATGCCTATTTAATTATTTTTCTATAATATTACATATTATATTTTGTTATTGACAAAGCATCCACTATCAACTGACCTCCTCTCAGAACCGATTTTTCGTTAGTAATGGTTTATACATTATTAAATTTCCTTCTGTATCCTACCTTCCCAACTTCCCACCTACAATAATGGCTGCACCCGTCCCCATTATCCTAAGAGATTATTTTTACTATACCGAGCATGATGAAATTCCCCGCGAGGAACTATCCCGCGATTAAGTGGCCGCGAAGAAGTGGCTGCATACTGCATGAACTGTACACCCTCTGAATGTTCATGGATGTATGCCGATGCCATCCCCGATGTCTATGCTCGGAACAAGATGTTTGCAATTAGAAAAGTCGTTTACAGACAGAAAAAAACACATTATTGAAAAACCAATCATTTCCACGATTCGCGGTAATCTAAATTTTGATTACCAGATTAATTATTTTAAAAAAGACATTCAGCTATTGTAAGACCGAATTTATTATTTAATTACATATTCAAAAATATTAAATACATAATTTGTAAAACAACATTATAAATCGCGTTCCAACTAATTTAATGTATACAAAGCTACGGGTATAAGAAATATTATTGTTTTTAAAAATTGTTCATCCTTTGTTTAAATTGTACATCATCTTCGCCGCTTTGTCCATTAAAGTTTCATTTGAACTTGAAAAACTACAAACGCTAAAATCAGTGTGGTCATCTTAAACAAAACAAAATAATTAAAATCTCTAGAATAACGGCATAGTATTGACTGTCAGGTATACCCCATATTATTATATTAGACCGCAGTATTCACTTACTGTAACAAAATTTCTATAATTCATTTCAAAAATGCCACACGGCATAAACTTGAAGTCCGTGTGTAACATGTACAAAGAAGCGAATTTCAACTGAAAATCGAAAAATTATTATTTAAAAATATCAGACCGCTACGATTTACAACAAGTAAGTGTAATAGTATTATACTTACCTGTCTATAGTCCGATTTGGTGTTAATGTTTACTGAATTCAAAACTGTATGCGTTTTCAATAGCTATAACATTATTATAAACGTTAACCGCCCAAAAAAATAAATAAACATAATTTCAAACACTGTAGGTATTATCAATAACGATAACTTAAATATATTTATGATCCAGGACAATTTGGCTAAAACACATTTCGGTACACGAAAAAAAATTTTATTGCCTTACAATATTTTTTATTTATCTACTTATAACCAAGACTCGGGACTTTATGCATTTATAATCCATAGAAAATCGCTTGATAACGTCAAAAGAGCCCTGGACAAATATTTTAGATAGCAAAAATGTCATAGAGCTTAAGTTGGTTTTAAATCCTCCCCCCCCCCTAATGGCTCTAGCTATTAAACAAAATTTTCTAACACAAGGTTTTTTCGATGTCTTTGATCATTTTTTTGTGGATTTGAGTGAAGTGAAGTCCCGAGTTCTGTTAATAAGATTATACAAATTGTTTTTTTATGATTCCCTATATGATGTTATTAATTCCGAAAATTAAAATTAAACCACCTACAATAATGTTCAAAGCAATTATATACTGCCCATGGGCAGGAAGTTTAAAAGATGAAATATATAGCATACTTAATTTAATTTATGTATAATTTGTATGATGTAAAAAAAAAAAATAAAATTGCATGTAGTTTTAAATAACACAAAAACACCAGAATATTTTAAAAGGCAATACGAATAATTTTCACTGATTCATAAAAAAAAACTAGTAAAGCTGCTGATGAGTGTGCCAATGTAGATAAAATATTAGGAGTGTAGGATACATAATGTTATTCAATTTTCATCCGTTTCGAAAAAATAAAATATCGGATTGAAAAACATTATGAAAAAGATTGATAAGAAAGCGAAATTAGTGGATTGACCATATTATAATCAAATATAAAAGTTTGCTGAAATTGACTATAAAAAGGAGCGCTGAAGCGAAAACCACATAAGAAGACCTAGAATAGAATATATCATAACGTGCTTATAATGAAAGATCAAGGATGCGATTCGTATTTGTGTACAATTAAAAAGAAAAGTACACTTTCGAAATGAATGGAGAATTTTTACAAAACAATTTGAGGATATAAACACAAACGAAAAAAGCAGAATTATATTATATTATTTTAATTTTCTTTTTTTTATGCACTGAAAGGCCGAAGCGACCAGCGCCGAATTGTCCTATCTCCGTATAAATAATATCAATTAAAAAACATCATTAGCCCCATAGGTATATTATTTTCCAAATCAATAAACGCTTAAATTTTATGAAGTAATTCATTTTTTTACGGAAATTTAGTATAATACTAAAATTTTAGAAGTTTTTATACGGGGCCCGTTATTTTTTTGGGCAAATCGAAAAAAGTTTTCATCAGTCATAATTAAACCCTTTATTCGGCTCATAATAAAATTAGTAACGGGAAATTTTAATGGGCGGTTTGCGTTCGGTCGGGTTTGTAAAAATCGCATTGTGTTCGAGTAATTTTAAAATATTGTAATGTGTTTGGGCGACTGTTAACAAACCATTTTTACTCTCATTTTAACAGACTTATGACCGTTCGGGAATCTCACGAGTATGATTATATATTTTCAATAAAAACTCATCGTTTAATTCGTTTTGTAGTGAAAACGCTTTTAATTTTAAGATCCATAACTATCTGGAACACTACTTAAGATAATTAATAACTATTAACACTATATCGAGTTCACGTTTCCAATGTTCGACCAAATTTAACATTTGTAAAAACTATAATTATTGAGTTTAGATCAATATAAAATTAATACCTACAAGGAGAAATCGCAATTTTTGTCATCTTATCTGATTAATGATACTGATTGATTGTAAAATATTATTTGCACGTATTCTATGACACGTATTAATATGTGTCGTTCACAATTTAATCTTTTATATTTTACATAAGGAACTCGCCCAAACACACTGTTTTTATTATGCGGGAAAAAAGGTAACTCACCCAAACGTATGACGCCTATTATTTGATAAAATGGTGATAATTTAATCCACTTTGTAAATAAAATGTAATGTTTCAACCTGGTCAAAAATTCCCCGCTGCATCAAAATGTGTCACCTTAGAACTACCTATTAAAGGCTAATGATTCTAATGAATATACATTATTATTACGAGTATTATTACGGTTTTAATTTTTATTCCAATTCATATTTGGAGATTATAAAATAAAAAAAAAAAATGGGGTTTTTAATAATATGGGACGCGTAATGAATGATATATTACCTCTAGTTTACAAATATTACATTGTCGGAACAACTCGAATACCCCTACAACCTCCAGACAAACGTTGATTAAGAACAAGCTCATAACCAATTTACTACCTTCTTTGTATCCGTAAAAGTATATTAGAAATATGAAAAAAATGATGTCGGCTATTTTGCATACCATGTACGTAAGGATAATCTCTCCGACAACGTTACTGGTCAAGTGGATTGACAAACGTCCGAGTTCTTTCCATTTCAACCGTAACAGTTTCCACTGTTCCATCGAAGTGATACTGTCGTTAATGTTCTGGACGCCTAGGCGGATGGCTTTTATCATGAACAAATATTGGAGTAAGGGTACGAACATCCAAAAGTTAAAGATGACGATTAAAAACACATCTTTAAACGAAAAATATTCAAACTTTGTGCGCACGTGGAACGCGACCATCGTTAAACATTCGCCGACGATATTCCCGAGCAACCAGACGACCGAGTAAAAAACGAATGACCACAGAAACGCGGGTTCGATAGACCCGGGCACGATATTGTCAAATTCGCAAATGATCCTGGTCAAAGTGCGTTTTTGAAATTGCGATAAAATAATGATAAGGGGCGTCGAGAATATCCGAATGTACAGCCTTATCACGCTGACGACCGTAGTAATGTCCCATATGTCCGGCATTTTTTCCGACACGAGAGACGTAATGTGAAAATAACTATACAAGCACACCACAAAGTTGACGAACAATAGGAACATGTCGACAATGCGAGTAGCGATCGAGTCGCTGTGCAAAAGTCCCAAACCGAAAAGCCGACAAAAATGTATTGCGGGATTTATCCTCTCCCGTAGCAATCTGCTGGCCATCGTTGATTCACGTTTTTTTATTTCTCTTATTGAATATTATACAGACTGCGAACTCGGAATTTATACGCTGCTGCACTTAAGACAATTTGCAAAAATCGCACCAATCAAATAAACATTGTATTTTCACGAGAGTAAAAATTTTCGAAAAAACCACTGATAATATTATGCTACGCACTTACAGATATTACAGACAGTTTATATTTCGTTTCATATGTTCATTCGTAATATGTCGTTCCATTATCTGGCACTGTACATTCAAACGAACAACGCACTCGCTATACACTCCAAATAAACAATATCCTTAGTGTAGGTATACTTTTATGAAAAGTGTGTATGATATTTGGAGTCTTTATAACCGACCGTGAGTTATTATATTATTGTGCCGTGTGCATTGTGTATATTTGTTCGTTTTATGTTTACCTAGTCATATACATCAGGATAATATTATAAAATGAGTACCTAGGTACGCGTTTTCTTGTACGTCCGGTTGTGAACGTTTATGTTTCGTCACTCGATTACGAACAATAATCGATGGAAGGAAAGGTTATGATAATATTCATATGACAGTGGAGTAGTATTGAAGTATGCACTTCTTAAGTAAATTTAAAATGCTCAAAAGTAATAAAGTTTTGTCAATAGGTGTTTCAAAACATATTTTATACTAATTTTTCGATCGAAAAAAAAACATATCTTAGAACACTAAGCCACTGATCCTCGTTAAGAATCTAAACGAAAATAGCACACTGTTCTGTATAAAAAGAAAAACGAAAATCGAAATTAACAGAAACTGCAAAAATGGTTCTGATATTATTACCGTCAATAAAATTACAGGATAAATAAAAAAAATAACCTCCTCGGTGCATTAACTAAACAAAATTTCCTACCAGAAACCACGCCGGATAATGATAATTGGGACGAATTTCCGATCGAAATTAAAAAACGCATCTCTTAGAATACTATAATAGGTCCGTTCGCTAAGAATCTTAACAAAAAATAACAAACCATTCTGTATAACAGAGTATACCTATTCAAAATTATACCTAGGCACGTAGTTTTGCAGCGCGAACATAATTAATTTTTTTAAATAATGAAGTAATAAAGTAAAAACAAAATTATTAAAATGGTTAACGCTCGTAAATAAATATATAAATAAAAAATGTCTCTAAAAAAATTAAATAAACGAACGAATGAATGCGTCGCCTGGGGTATTATGATAAGTGTGTTATACGACTGCTTTCGAATTAAAAACTCATCATCAGGCATATAACAGTCAAAATGTCGATAAATCGTTTCGATGACAAAAGTTATAATAATAAACGAACAATTCGTGCACAATTAATCTGAAGAAAACGAAACCATGCGACCTCACGGTGAAATATTGTCAGACTTTGACTTACGACCTTGGAAATATCAAAATGCCTACAATAATTCGTTCGTTCTTTACCGCCGTATTGTGCTCGTTCAACGTTATAGATTCCGTAGATAGAAGTGGATAAAATCTGCCGCTACGGATAGTAATAAATATAATCAGAAACGGGACACGTCGGTGCACGTTAACAACACTAAGGTCGTATTCGACTTCTAACGATTAGATAGTCAACTTTTCAATAAACCGTGACTTAATCGTGGCTCAATTGTGTCGGCCAGATTAACTAGTGTTTTGAGTGTAGAAAAACATTTTAACAATAGTACGTACCGATAATGCATTACCGTACCGTCGAATATTACAAAAATTTACGAGAGTTTAAAATAAATACTAGAAATAATGCAGGTAAGTGGGTACCTAATTGGACACTTGAGTGTTTATATACTTGATATGATTTTCAAACGGTACGAGTTTTTTTTTATTTTTATCGACAGTGCCCGCACTTTTACAAAATTAATACCAAACCGTTGGAATAATAATCCGAACCATATTGCATTTTATGATATCGAGAGCAGCCGATTCGGGTATAGGAGTATTCCCGTATTTGAGATTGTGGTGTGTGTTTTTTTTTTTTTTTTTTTTTTATCAGTAAAATAATTACCACAGACACTCCGAATCTGCCAATAGAACTAACGGATTATAGATGCATTCTCGCTTTTATTTCGCCCGCAAAACCATGTCCGTCGTAAATGTTGTGATATTATTAACGTGCGCCGTAATTTCAATCGGCGAACGGTGCGCGGCTTTGAGTGACGGCAAAAAATATCAATATGCGAATAACATCACGAAAAACCAGAGGTCAGAGGTCTGTATAATATTTTATTGAAAACATGATAACGCGTAGATTAAAAACGTTCGGCTTTTTCTCATACACGTGTATAATTAGGAGCAACGTAATGAAAACGTACGTTTTTAAATGGTCAAATTTCACTTTTGCCCAAATTAAATGGTCGAACTACAGTCGGGTCGATAACAGACGTGCGTAACCCCAGCACCCTCTCCCGCGTTCATAAATTCACATTTAATAAAATACCAATAATTTTATGTTTTTAAATCATGAAATGTTTACCGAAAAAAAATTTAAAACCAGTTTAATTGTAAGTCATGCTATATAAATCGTTATAATTCGTTCAATAATCGTATAACTATTGACATTTGATTTACGATTATCGATAAGATACACATCAAGAGCTATTTAATAAGGGACAAAATTTACACGGTTTTCAAACGGTGACGAGCTATTTTTAGTCAGTGGGTCACATCAAACATCGCTATAAGCCCATATAATATATATGCCATCAAATACTTTAGATTAGAACGCGAGAAGCTCTGTAGAAACCTACCGGCGATATGTCGCGATATAGCGCTCCGAAATGTGTGTGATTGCTTATTCGTTTCCTTTCTCCTAATCGCTTGTATGCACATTGTGCTCCATAACTAATGTAAACAATTCGGCGCCATAAATCATATTATAATACTAAATGCTGTAGAATAATCGATACTATAAAATACTATAGATTGCTATATTTAATGGTGAACATCGGTACATTTGTTGTATGCAAAATATCGAAACAATACAGGTTATCGACGACTTTACCCATATACTTATAACCGGTGTTCCTATTATATATTTCGGTACAGAACGCCAGTTTTTGGGATCCTTTGGACCTGCCGAAATCGTTTGACGCCCGTGCGAAATGGTACAAATGTTCGTCCATCGGGCAAATATACGACCAAGGCAACTGCAAGTCGAGTTACGCCATTTCCGTGGCGTCCGCTGTCACCGACCGGATATGCATCCACTCGAACGGACTCGAGAAACCCACGCTTTCGGCCCAACAGATATTGAGCTGCTGTTATCTGTGCGGAAGCGGTTGTAACGGCGGTCAGCATTTCGAGTCGTGGGACTTTTACAGACGACACGGTTTTGTGTCGGGAGGCGGTTACGGTTCGAACAAGGTAATATAACAAGAATCACGATTATACTGCGATTTTTTTTTTTTCAGTCACAGCAGTAGTGATATTCTCCCTCTATAGCTTTTTTGGCCTTTTTGACCTTAATTTATTACCCGCTATCTTTCCATATCTTCACATTTTTCCGGTTCTGTTCTTCGTGGCTTTAAAAATGTCCATCCATTTTTGTTCGGGAAGGCCTATAGGTGTTCTTCCGTTGATTTTACCCAACATAACTTGTTTTCCAATACCATTATCCCTCCATACACGTCCTGCACATTATATTCGTTTGATTTAGATAGAAATTGTACATTGGGTTTTTGGAATAAAAACTTTCACGTTACTATATTATTATCTTTTGGATAGGGGTGTCAGCCGTACACGATCGAACCGTGTCAACACGTCAATGAAGGCCTTGGAGTCGAAAATGCGTGTTCTAGGAAACCGCTTTACTCGCCTAAGTGCAACCTAAAATGTTCCAATCCTAAATACGGCACTAGATACGCAAAAGACAACCACCGAGGTAATATTGTATTGTGTTTTCTATTATATTATGTTTGATCACGAGCATAAGCACTTGCAAGATTCCCCCTCCCTAGATTAAAAAAATTTCGAAAATACCATAGAAAATTACCACTTTTGTTTAGAATACAAAAATATAAACTAATAATGGTTTATATTTTATAATAAGTACAATTTAAAATTGTTTTCAATTCAATTTAAAAAAATTGATAGCAACGATTTGGATTTCTGATAGAAACCGGGGTTCTCTTCCTACCCTTGAATTTTTGTCTATGGGCACCCTTGATCACGAGTTTTTTTTTTCGGTGAAATATACTTCAAACATTTTTGTATTACACCGTGGGAAGAAAAAATGAAAAACAGAAACCGTAAGATACACTAGTAGCTAAAATAAACATGGTGTAGCTGGATCAGTATTTGGAAATAATGCATTCATTGAATTTAATTCCTTTTTTGTGGAATGAGTCCGTGAATAGGATTATTTTTATATATAAGGAATGGCGAATGCGAATTTATTCGATTCATGTTGGATGTGAGTGAAAATGATAATATAGAATTCCAAATGATTATAATAAATTACACGTGAAATTTCTTTTTACAATTTATATGGAAAATATATAGATAGATACAGACCTATACAATCGTCTGTAGTAGTTTTTTTTTGCACTCAAAATGCATTTAAAATTTTGATGAATATAAATGTGAAATTCATTCGTTATAGAAATAAATAACGACGAATGGGAATGCATTATTTTTTAAAAGGAATTTCCCAATCACTAGGCTGAAAAGAAGTGGAAGAAAATGAAAGAACACTGCAAGAGTGATAATTTAAAAAAGTGCCGTTAAGAACAAAAGGAAAATTATTTTGTAAAACTGTTGTGTGATGCCTACAGCGACGACATAAAGGTACGAGTGTAAAACGAAATTCACAGCAACCACAGAGATAAAAGCGAAGAAGAAAAAGATGTCGTGGAATGATACAAATTCTATTGAACAGCCGACAACGTATTAAATGATACTACATAATTATAATACCGCATAATACATAATTTTGATAGTATCGATGCATACTTAAATACGTATGTTTAATGTTGATTTTTTTTTTTTTTTATTTAGGAACACATTACAAAGTACCGGGGTATACGGCGATGAAAGAAATTTATGAAAATGGTCCGATAACCGCATCGTTTTACATGCATACGGACTTTATCGATTATCGATCGGGTGCGGATACAAACTCAATTGATTATACATAATATACTCAGTGGCGTGCACGGGAATTCACAATGGGAGGGAATTTCGTAAAAATAATCATGACTAAATCGTAGAAACTTCTTTTTTTTTTTATCTAACACGACATTGAAAACTAAAAAGCCTAATCTAAAGAAGCCAAGCTTTATTCAATAATTCAAGCTTTTTTTCGTTGTAGTCTGGCTTAAATATGCGATTTTAAGATAAAATTACTAAATTACCACCCATAGTTGTTGTAATTTTAAGCGTATGGTAGGGTCTATTACCCCTAACAACTTCCCTGCGCACGCCACTGTTGATATAGTACACATTTCACGCTTTTGTCAAACAAACGGACATTAGAACATGTATACACTTCCTACAGGCGTGTACTCGTATCAAAATGGAACTTATGTCACTACCCAGGCGGTGAAAATCATAGGCTGGGGAGAAGATGAGAACGGAACGCCGTATTGGTTGGCGGCCAACTCGTTCAACGTATATTGGGGTGAGAACGGATTTTTCAAAATCCGTCGTGGTGCCAACGAATGTTATATCGAAGAATCCATGCACGCCGGATTGCCGTTGTAATTTCCGTTCTATGCGATCAAAATTACACCTAATTAAATTTGATGTCCAATAACATTCATCTTTTTGAATTTGTTCGATTTATTTGTAAATAATCAGAAAATATCAATCAATATAGGTAATACATAATTTATTGATGAACAATAAAATTTACTGTATCATTAAAGTGGAAAATGTATTGATTACAATAACTTGTATAAACCCTTCCTACTCCCTTAAAAAAAAAAAAAACACCTCTAAGCAGCAGATATCTGTCACTAGTATTGAATGTTCTCTCGTCTATTTTGTGTAGCATAATTAATATTCTTTGTAAAGCAATAAATAATACAATTCTAGCCAAACTTTTCAAAATGTATCCAGATGATGCGTTTATTCGTATAAAACACATTCTACGCGTTAACTAATTTTGCAATATTTTGTGACACAAAAAAACACTATTTAAGGTAATACAGTTGAAAGTTGAAACCCTCAAAAAGCAAGCCCTGAATACTAACGCCAACCATACAAAAGTATCATTCCCCTGCAGGCTTTATTTGCGTTGTCTGTAGAGGGGTATGCAAAACTATAAAACACCTTCGACCCGCCACAACATGGCTAAATTCATATTAAAATTCAACCAGACTATAATCACTTCAATCCATCTATAAAATAGATCTAATTCCCGATTCCCAGTTCATTTTATCCAAGAGAGCCGCTATAAGTGACCAAAAAAAGGCAAGTATAAGATATATACAGGCCTGTAGTCGTTATTTTTAGAGAAAATTCGACAAAAATTATAATACACAATATCCCCTTATTTAGAATACATTTCGTTTGCAGCCACAATATTCCAGTATTGATTCGTCAACGATTATAATACTATAAAATATTGAAATGCCAGTACATGAAATTTATATTATTTTCATTACAGTTATGTTTAAGTAGATGCTATAGTGAGTGAGTACCAGTGTATAGACAAAAAGTCAAGGGTTTTCAAGTGCATGCACCGCAACCAGTGTAATTGAGAGTTAAATTTGTAACTGTATTGTAACAATATGATAAAATTATAATGATTAACCATCGATCTATATAGTTCTTAAGTACGTAGATTTAGAAGTATTTAGAATTTATATTATACTATATTATCGTATTGATGCGATTATTTCAGATCGAACAAAATAATACGGCATAGTACACATAGTACATTGCAATATACCTACTTCCATGACACGAATTTACGATAATTTATAACAAATTATGCAATTGACTGGAGTATTTTACGTAACCTATTTCCGTGTATCTTACCTTCCCAACTTCCCACCAAAAATGGCCATCAACAGTATTAGCTATTTTTCTTTTGTAGTTCTAGTGCTCTATTTGTTTCAACGCTGTACCCGTGCCCATCGCAATTCCACAGTGAACATTTTCCCAATTGGATCGCTTAGCCATAGAAATATATTATGAAAGGGGTAACTGGTAAAGTGAAGAAGAGGCGTAGTTTTTAAATATTGTGTTACTTTTTAATACTTGGCTTAAGTTTTATGAAACATGCTCACGACACTTGTATTCGTGTAATATTATAATAATTTAAAACGTTTTTTTTTCTTTTTATTGTAGTTTCGTAATAATAATTAATATTTCAAATAAAGTAATTTTTCAATATCAATATGGATAATTCTATAAAATGGTTTTTTGTTTTTTAAATTTTCTCCGCATTTTACTATAAAATGCAGAAAATGTGGAGAGAGAAGGCAAATGTTGTATATCTTAACCCCCTCCCCACCATTAATCTAAATACGCCTCTTTATGCGTGCAAGTAGATGTATGGTTTTTTATACATTTTTAATAGAGTTCTAAATGGTCTATACAAAGTTTTCTCAATTTGCGTGTTGAATATTTTTTTTTAGAAGTGAATTTATAATGTTTGATGACCTATAAAATTATAAAAATAGCTAGCCACTCGTTGCACCACTGTGTTTGCAGTGAGTCCTAGTAAAAGTTATAGAATATAGGGATTTTTCGGTAGGCTACATACTGAGGAAAGTTTTATTTCGAAACTCTGTTAAAAATGCATAAAAAACCATACGTATACTTGCACGCATATTAGAAGCGTATTTAGTTTTGTGAAACGTGAAACTTTAATTTTTTGAAACCATTCAATTCAAAAACTAATTGATACACACACATATTTTCAGAGTTTATTATAATATTATCATTGCATAATTCTGTTTTAAATTCGTAGGTTATATGCGTTATAATCTATAATTATATTAATAATAATTTTATTCGATGGCCGAATACATTTTACATTTATTTCAATCGGTCTTTGTAATAGTTAACATTGTGCATGCTCCTCGTAGTTCGAAATTGTTGAAACTTAAACGTTTTCATTTTATGAACATGCAACAATAATCATGAAACGAGTTGCCTCAGTGTGCACCCTACCTTAGTGAATAAAAACGATAAATAATTTCCAACAAAAAGTAAAAAATGTAGATAAATAGATAATTGTTTCTTATGTATGCATAATTTAATAATGTTACTAGGTATTCAGTTTAACTTGCCGGTCCAAAAATGTGATTATTTTTAAATATTGAACCTATGAAAAATATGATTAAAAAAAAAATGGTAACTTAAGTACAGTACCTATGTTTAACTGCGGTTTTTGGTCAGCTACTATTTAAATTACTATTGATAATGTTGTATTATTACCATACGAAATCTGTGTAATTCACGTAATTATATTGTCTCTGATATATTGATAAAGCATGCAAATTCATACTATATGATGAAATCCTGAGTATGACGATAAATTATTGAAAACAAAAAATTATAAAAAACTTTCAGTTTCAACAGCTAATGAAAAACAAAGTAATCGGCCACCCAATTACATTTCGATGACCGACAGTTTCTGATCTTCCGACTTCCTCATTTTTAGGAATAATACAGGGAATTTTAAGAATTTCCAAGCAAAATTATCTATAAGAAAATTTAAATCCGTATATTTTTTCCATTTTAAACCGATGAAAATGTCAACAATTAAATAATCTTAAGTTCACTGTACAAAATACGATGTAAGTTATATTCTACACATAGAAAATACTAATATGAGAATTTGATGAAAATTTAATGCTCAAGCGTTTGAAATAAAACAAAAAAAAACATTTATACAATACAATATTTTTCTTCTCTTACATGGTGTAAAGAAAACATATGAGTACCTTGATTTATATTCTTGAATATATTTACCGAGCCAAAAAATTGTCTCCGCATTATTCGGAGCAAAATAAAGCAAAATAAACTAACAATGTAGAACTTAAATGTCGAAAAGCGGATCTGATGGTAGGAAAAGGTACCCAATAAAGGAAATAAAGTTTCTCAACTGGCTGGTATTAATATTTTAATGTTTAGAGTATTATTGTAATATTATACATTATTCAAGACAATCGATTTTATGTTAAATCAATATAATAAAATAAAATATTTTCAAGTGAGCTAATGCAGTCAGCGCATATGCAATGTTCAGTAACTTTTAGTAGTTCTTATAAGTCATACTCAAAAAGAATAAGGTCTAAGAATTAATGTTATATGTAATACTAAAGGTATGTTTTTTTTTTTTTTTTTTAAATTCCAGACTAAATATAGTAACATTTAAAAAGTATGACTAATTCGAAGTGTTAAACTATTATTCACCCTGATTGATATTTTTTTAATTTTTTCGTTTACCAAAATATTAAGTTTTATTTTTATCGAAAACATATTATTTTGGAAACTTCAGGTCAAATTTCAAAATGTCGAGTCAAAAATAAAATAAAATAAATAATATACCCTTTATTGTATTTCAAACTCGACCTACTTTCAGAAGGAAAGTATTCATTTTCTACAGACATAAGTAAACGTAAACAGATGGTCACGTCTAGTGGTGAATAACGTACAAACGTCATGTGCAATAATATTATATATTTAAGCGAAATGTAATCACTGTTTTTTAACGTATTTTTTTTATAAAACGATAGGTTTTTTTTTTTTTTACAGAATTGATAAATATAAAATCTGATGGATACATTACCGATTCAAGAAGATTTTATTAACATGAAGATATTGGAGCTAAGTGGTTTCTATCACATGTTTAATCCGAATAGTAGAACAATTTTTAGTTGGAACATTTACAAGCTGGCATACATTTTATTCAATGTCCTCACATTGACTATGGTTATCATCGGATGTTTAGGATATGTTTTTGAAAGAGAATATTTGATTAGCGATACGGATGTTTTCCTGAATTCGTTCTCCTCTATGCATATTTTTTTAAATTTCTGTAAATTGAGCATTATATTAAAAAACTCGAACCTATTGTGGGAAGTATTTGATGTGACAAAGTTGACGTTTTTCACGAGCAAACCCTGCTGTAAAAATAGACAAACCCTGTATGAATATCGTAAAATTATATTCAAAATTATTAATTGTTTTTCGATTTTCACTATAGGTGTAACCATTACCTGGGTGATTTATCCACTCATGATTACTTTGTTAACGTCACCTGACGTACTGATTTTTCGCAAACAGAACATTTTAAATTTGCCTTTTCCCGTTCAAATGCAAACGTACAATCAATACTACACATTGTTTTACTTAATAGAGTCATTGATATCGATGAATGTAGCATTTAACGTAATTGTAGTCGACGCGTTGTTTATAACTATCTGTTATGTTATAATCGCCCAATATAAAGTTATTGGTCAGTCGTTCAGATATATCGGCTATGACGAAAAACCGCTGAATGGTAAGTCCATCTCTAAAAGCAGCCATAAAATCATGAACCTTCTTTTAATCTTAATTTATTTATTCTGTTTGTACTGTGTATGTGAAACATTGCTGTCTATTAGTGTTTTTTTGTAAAATTCCGGAAAGCTCTGTCCAGGACATTACAGTGTGCAGATTTTTCTATTCCAAATCATTATAGTGATATTTATAATTTTTTTTTTTTATATCTATGAACAACTATTCTACCAGAATTTTTGCTCCAATTTTCAAGTGTAGCACTTGTTTTTGTAGTTTAATTCAGTTAAAAATATTTGTAGAAACTTGAAATATTGATAGAAAACCCGTATTAGCTTGTTTTAGACGTGGTAAAATCTTCAAAGCATTCGACCCATTTTTGAGCTATTTATAGGCATTTTAATTTTGCGAGTTTTTTACGTAATTTTTATTGGTAGATAATTTGTGGATACAATTGTAAGACTTAACAGAAATGATAGAAAATTTAACAAGAGGTTCATTAGTCGTGATTAGTGGTCAAAGAAAAAAAAAATGAAGTCTAATGAAGTATTTCTTTTTTATAAGAGTTTTAATATCAAATTTTTGACTTTTCAAAACATGTATAATCGAACTTCGCTTCGAATCGTTTTTCGTTAGCAATTGTTTATCGTTAGTTACGGGTATAAATCAAATAACTTAATATATCCCAACTTCTCAACCACCAACCTACTACAGTAGTCACACCCGTCAACTATTTTAAATATAACGTCATCGAGTTACAGTTATCTTATGAACGAATATAATAATAATATAACTGTTTAAATTAAACGTGACTGATAAAAGTAACTTCTAACTTTCTAACTAGTAAGTCCCCGTTCATAAATTATTTGATATCCTAACGAGCGAGGTTAGACATACAAATAATTGATTGTATTTATTTATTCGTTTTCGATTGATTATCGTTGTATTTATATGATTATAGAATATTACGAAGATTTTAAATCAGTTGTAGCCGATCAACAAAAACTCGAGTTGTAAGTAATGTTTAAATTTCCCAAGAAAATAGCAAATTTGACATAGAATCTAAGTTGTATTATTTATATTATTTGTTTCAGGAAATTGTTATCATTTTATTCCGTTGTACATCGCATAGTTTTAATAAACGTCGTTTTTACTTTCTGCTCGATCATAATCATAACATATTTATTTGTTGAGGTAAATTAATAATTATCGTGTATTAACATTAAGGTGCCTGCACGTGGCATATTTATTTTTGCAAAATCATTTTTTACCATTAAAAAATACCCCATGTCTCTTAGGGTAAATGCATTTTGATCATCTTTTTTTTCCGTAAGAGAAAGATAGACTTTGATTTTGAACATTTATATTTCTAAACCTTATAATTAAAACTTGAATAATACTTATGTGCACTATCTTTTTTTCTTAGTTTTGCGTCAAAAATCAAAATTTGGACTTCGATTTTGATTTCTGTTCAAAAAACATGTCACTAGCTGGTCCCTTAACATACACATGAAAACTTATTGCGACTTTTTATTAAAATTTATTAGTTGCTAAGATTCGTTTACGTTAAATGCTAACAATAGTTCACAAATTTGTAAAACAAAACCACGTGCAGATCCCTTGACATACATTTTACAATGATAAGTTAAAATATATTTTAAAATAGGCGTGCATGTCACTTGAATCGCTGTCAATCCTCGATTTGTTCAGACTAGGAAGTACAGTTGGCTTTGAATATCTATACCTATTTATATACTGTTATTTATTAGACAGTTTAAACTTGGAAGTAAAAAAAAAAAAAAAACAATTATCTATTCTGATATAATTTCAGCTTGTTTGATGAATATTATTATAATATAGAGAGAATCGACCAACTTTGCAATATATTCTTGTAACTGGACGGAGATGGATGTGAAATTTCAAAAATTGTTGTTGTTGGCAATGTGCATGAACAACGCCAATAAATTGTTGATCAGGGCTTCGCCGAAGAAAACAATCAACTTGCAGTTCTTCTCTAGCGTAATTAATTATTACACGTTACATGCGTACCTAATACTAACTGAAAACTGAAATTATAAGGCCGTCATCACGGTGACATTTACCGTATCTGTCTTTCTAAAAGCCGATTTGACGCAAATGGATTCGTGTAAATGAAACGAAAAGGCGTTTAAAGTTGATTTTAGAAATAAAACATTCAATGTCCCCGCGGTACCCAAACTTTTTTGATTCACGCCAGCCTAAAAATAAAAACAAATAATTGCACGTCCCCCGTGAATAAACTCATAAGTACATTGCAGTTATTGTAATATTATAACCTAACGTTTGCCAAACACTATACTGATATAATTCGTGATTTAATTTTCGTGTTTCTATTTTTTAAACATAGTGGCAGTTACATGTAACGAATTTGTATTGTTTGGGTGTAGAAAATATTGATATTATTATAATTGTATCTGTTTGTTTATTAAGAGTGTGGCATTTACCTACGTACCTATGTAAACACGAATCGTGGTTAATTGTGATCAATTTACTTCTAGGTCATGATGACGTCTTACAACATCGTCTCCGTTATGGTGAAAACAATTTCCATAGAAAATCAATAATCGTATTCACTAGATCATAGCGTATAGTATTACATTTTTACACTCAAATATTATTACGTATAGAATTATTGTACGGTTTAATGTTATGCACAGTATTGTTTTTGCCGTGAGAATATGTAATGCGCTTTACCGCGGTAGATAATAATTCTAAGTCTTTTTTTTTTTTAAATAACAGATACCGAAAACGGTAGGTAGAGGTGCACAATACGTTTATATTAAATAAAAATTTGTAGATGACATATTATTGCAATACGCTTTAATTCAAGTTTATTTATTACTATACGATATAAGCGATACAATTTCGTTTCGTGTTATATTATTGTGAATATTTTATGCCGTACCTATTACGCCACTGACGATTTTCGTCAACAACGCCACCACGCGTATTGCCGTTTATCCCATAACACGGGACAGACATAACACGCGCGTACATAAAAAATTATTTTGAGTGGACAGTTTAAGAAATTTTTGTCAACGTCCCTGATGTAGTTCGCAAAAACGAATTTATAATAAATTCCCGCGTGAATTTTCGCTTTCAATATTTTATAATAAACGTGTATAAATAACACCTCAAAATCCTTACAAGTTCTTGAGTTGAATGTAATAGACATTATTCAAGCAGAAAACATAGGTAGAATATGTTTGGTTTAGCTACTATAGTAGGCATAGACGTGTTAATGGAGAAGGAGGGGAAGCTACTTCTACGATACGTAATTTACTTGTTATTCATTGAGATTTTTAATATCATGTGACCTTGCATGGTTTAAATAATTAATATTTAATGATAATATTGACAATTGTTGTTTGAAAATGTAAATTGATATATCGTAACGGAGCCGTTGGCTATTATCTGTTATGTGTTGGCTACAATGTAGCTCTTTGAGATTTTGAAAAAAAAATCACGCATTTCAATGAGAAATAATGTTTCAAATTTTAAACACGAAAATTCGGTCATATTTTGCGACGATAATAAAATTGATAGGTATTCCTGTTATAGGACGAAAAAGGATTTCTTCGAAAATAAATTTCTCGAGTCACACACAGCATTTCTTTAATGCAAAATAAGATGAAACGAGACACGTTTGCTACACTGCATTAGATATTATTATAATTTCTGTTTTTAATTTAGGTTTAATCAAGAAACAATTAACACAGTAAAAATTGAAACTACGTTATTAAACTTTCAAATTATTGATGATAATATTAACATATCAACGGACGATCTAAACACTAAAAACAAAAATTGACTTACTAAAACATAATACTGCTGATTTATCAAGTAACGAAAAAGTAAACATTGAAAAATATATTAAATAACTAACAGAATTTTCCCTTTTAGTGGAAGATAAACTATCTTTTTTTAATTTTTTCAAAATGTCACAAATATTTTTGTTGAAATTCCTGTTACAAATTTTACTTGCGTAAGAACGTTTTTAAAACTCGGCATAATTAGAACAAAGTTACGAGAAGCAAAAACGTTTTTGACAATATTCGTTAAACAAGAATATTGACGTACAACATCAATATTGATGAAATTATTGATTAGTTCAAAACGTTAAGTGCAGTTGAAAGAAGAATGCAATTATAAACTGTTATATTTTAATTAATTTATAATTTAGTATAATTTAATCATTAAATAATATAAAAAATAACTGTGATAAATTTAAAATTAACGTAATTAAAAGTCATTAGGTGATAAACAATCGTTAAATTTTCAAAAAAAAAAAATTGATCAATTATTTTACATTAACGATTAAAGAATATCTGTGACTAAAATAGTTGGCGGCCTTTAAGTAAATGAAAGTATTCGACAATTTAATTGGGTTGTTCGTTTTAAGTACCTATCCTCATTATCATTAACCTGGCTCAACCTGCCAATAATATTTGCGTACGCCTATAGTGATAGATGTCATTAGTTCCAACATAATAACCTCAGTAGTTAAGTCCGTAGACTTAAATAATAATAATTTACAATATTTACAAATATGTCCTTAAACGAGTAACTATACTTTGATTACTTTTAATTGACTGTACTTTGATAGTTTAAAAAAAAAAAAAAAGTTACGTCTATTGCGTTTGTGTAATCGAGTAAACCTAAAAAAAACATAATATTATGTGAACAGTCGATACAGAAAAAGCAAATAAATTCCCGAATTCGGAAAGCCATATAATGTCGTGTGAACATTCCCGATAAATTCCCGAAGACATATTTTCTTCTTTTTTTTTTTTTTAGGGGGGAGGGGGAATTTTCTCGTGGCACGTTACTATATGATTACCTTAATAAACGATTAATATTTGATATAGAATAAGCCCTCGAACATCGGGTCTGACTGCGGCCTCTAAATATAACGGTATGCCTATTTAAAACATTTTGAAACGTACCGATCTGGAAAGTCACGTTGAAAGAATTAATACCGGCGTGTATACAAAACGCAAGTGCACGAGATAATAATTGGATAAGCCACCTGCACAATGGTGAGATTATAAATGCGGACGGCGTCGTTCAAGTGTGTTTGTTCTTAAAAATCGCATGAATCGATTGCTAAATAAATACGACTCCGCGTTTCGGAATATTATCGACAAAACATCGTTCAACAAATACCTCACGGCAAATACTCTTGTCACGGGTATCGGCGGCGGCGTCGAAATGTCATCGCGTATTTGATCCTATTTCGTGCGACTTGAACACAATAATATCATCGTGGCAGACAATCGCGCACCGGTATTTCCACAGCGTTTAACGTTTACCGTATTGTTATTAGATACTCGAAATAATTGACGAATTCGTGGTTTAGCGAAATCCCTCGACGCGTCGAGTTACCGGGTGTAACTTATTCATTGTAGCCGTAGCGTCAAAACGCGGTTCATCATGAAAATCGCACTGCTGCTAGTCTCCTGTTTTTGGTTAACGTGCGGCGCGATTACGAAACTGCACCGAATCGTTGAACACGTGAACAGCGCCAACGTACCATGGCAGGTAAGAAGGAACGAAATCCAAAACACTTATGTATACACCTATACACCTAAACTAGTTGCCGGTTGTAGTAGCCGGGTATTGTAAGGTTCAAAAAACTTACGCGCACTGCAATATTACATCGCATTGATATAACGTCGCGCAAACAATACTTTCATCCGATAAAATTTAAATTATGGTAGGGACCTAGTGAAATTTATTTCTCGTAATCTATTTGTTCAGTGTGTCGGCATAGTCTGATTTGTGATAAAAAATCGGTAGAGTGTCCGGCGCTGCGCCTGACGAGGTGTGGGGTGGGGAGTGGCAATCGATCCAGCGACTTGATGGACGGAAATTTTTTAGCTAATATAGATAGACGAGAAATATTAAAAACTATATTAACATCCATTTTTACTATGTGAGTATTTTTTTTTTTATTTTTTTTTTTTTCTATCAATTATAAATATAAACATACCTATATTTCAACAGTATAACAATATTTCAATTATATTTTGTTACAATGGTAACAAAATGTTTCGACCGTTAAATAACTGTTAAATAAACCTACTTTATTTATTAATCGACACCTCTGACTTAATATTATTGTATGGCTTCATTTTATACAAGCGATGGAAAAACGTTTTTCGGGTTTAAAAGGAAATAAAACATTATTTTAGATTTTTTTTTGCTGGACGTTAAAAAGTCATCGTTATCTATTTTAAATACAGAAAACGATCTTCTGAAAAAAAATACATTGTGGTTAAATCATTGGAAATTTTGTTACTATCAAATCGGGACGAAAATGACTATACATTGTATTTGTTTCGCGTTTATTTTACTACTTGTACGGCTGTATTCTAGATATAAGATATTAAAATATAAAGCCTAAGTACCTATACTTAAAACTATCATGTCCTACATATTTAATCTTATAATCCAATTATCTTTGTTTATTATTAAATATTTACATAAAATCGTTTACCTTATATGATTTTGTTTTTGAAATTAATAACCATAATAAATACAGCGCGGTATAATTTTTAAAATTAAAAGAATATAAAACCTCTACATATTTTTTAGAAAACCAAAATTACACACTTATTGATTCGTTTTTCTTAATTTTGTTTCCTATACATTACACATAGGGAATATAATCACAAAGTATAAACAAGAGTCTTTTATAATGATTGTTTCGATGAAAAAAATGTATCGGTAATTTTCTTAAAGGTTGTGTAATTTTGTGTGCCATCCAGACGGTAAAGGGGAACAATTCCGTTTTTTTTCGGACTCTGACGTCATAATGAACGTTATTCTCTCGCGCGGTTTTAGATTCTTGACGGTATGAATAAATTGCATTGGTTTTACAGTTTTCCATGTTATTATAATGTGTATTTGTTTATATCTCTCAATACCGTTTTAACCAGAAGACTTATTACTCTAATCAATAAATATCACCTAGGGTAGTTTCTGGGAAATATTTTTTTTACAGTACCTGGCAAAAAAAAATAAGCGGGTAACATCTTGATAAGTATCGGATTTTTCAAAATTCAATTTCAAAATTCAATTGACGCTCAAGCTTACACTCGAATATCGCATTTTTTTTTTACTCGTTATTTTCTGAGTTAGTGGGTCACACGGGAGAAACCTACTTTAATGTTTTAAACCAGTCAAACTATCTCCATTCAGAATTAGTTTTTTTTGTTTGCAATTTGTCACTTACAACAGTGGCTAAAAAGTCCGGTTTTTTTTTTTTTTATCATTATTATTTACAATATACTTGCGTCGTTCAGGCAGGAATAAATAGTTTCCATACGAATGACTACAAAAAATTAGTGGGCTCGTTTCACTATCCTGACGGCGCTGGCGAGATACTGGACCAGTACGACCGCGATGTATTTGGTGACAACGTTGGGGGCAATGATTGCGATACAAATAACGACGATGACGACGACTTCAACGGCATTGCGGAAAGCTTCGACGCCAGATACCATTGGTTCGAGTGTCCCTCGATTTCGCACATCTGGAATCAGGGCAATTGTGCGGCCGATTGGGTAGGATATATTATAGTAACTACATAGCTACTGTATTTCGATACCGTCTAATTAATCCAACTTGCATCAAATCTCAACTATTTTCAAGGATCTCGCAAAGTTTTTATGTAGCTACTGTGTTTCCATACTTAAATTTTTATTTCAGGCAATTGCTGTGACTTCGACCATGAACGATCGCATATGCATTGCGTCCGAAGGCAACATCACTGCACTTTATTCGCCACAAAAATTGGTTTCCTGTTGCACAAACTGTGGCAACGGGTGCAATGGCGGGTACACTGCGGCGGCATGGGAATACGTACAGAAAAGAGGAATCGTTACCGGTGGTGAATATGGTAGCAACGAGGTAAATAGGTTAGGTTAGGTTAGACCTATCTGGCTACTAGTGGAGCGGCGAGTTCAACATTTTTGAAACCCAAATATTTTGGTGGACACATCCCATCTTACTTAAAACCTAAATAAAAAAGGAATTTTTAATGATCTTAAACGCAAATATGATGGAACTTAGCCTCTTTCTGCATCCATCCACGAACAGCCCCTAAAAAATTTTTAAAACGTTCACTCATGAACAGTAACAGTCAACACTTAACACACAATACAATTTAGAATTAATGTTGTTATTATTTATTATTAAAATTATAATTTTTAATATTTGTTATAAATTATAATTATTCAATTATTATCCAAAATATCATTATTAGACACCCACCCCCATATCTTCTAAAAAATATTATCTCGTTGTACGTATTACGTAAAATCGTACAAACGTATAACGCCAATTTGTATCTACCGGTTGACGCGACAAATTCGTTTTACTTTTAATTTTTAAACTGTCGACCATAGGCATAGAATATATTCGCAGATTTGACCAAGAAAAATTTCTTGAAAGACATTCAACAAATATACAGCCCCCGTGTACAGAGATATAGAGTATAACAATTATTTTTGAACAAAAATGTATTGTATAGGACATACATACGGTAAAAGTAGTATAACTTTGTTTGGTTCTTGAAGGGCTGTCAACCATGGCTCATACCTCCGTGCAACATTTCGACAGCCTATAATTCCGAAACCATTCTCGGACCTCACACTATGTGCGCCGCCGACCATCACTCGCCGACCACCCCGAAATGCGATCTGAGCTGTTATAACGAGAAACACGAAACGGCGTTTTTGGATGACATCATCAAAGGTTAGACCGAATCGATGGCGTAAAGTTTACCGTAAACTCGCCCGTAGTGTTGCTAGAACGCCTAATGTTACATTCATTTTCGATCATTATTAGATAGTATTTTCGCGATTACTGTTAGAGTAATGGAAAATGAAAAAGAGAATAAGTTGAGATGATAATATGATCATTATAAACACAACATCAAGATAAGAAAGTAGTATCTATGTCGAATAAAAAGTGGCAAGAAATTACTATATAAGAGAAATATGAACTAGTACATTTGTACCTGTAAATGGAATAAATAAAAATATGGTAAAGACGTAATAGTGATTGATTGGTGGGAAGTGCGGAAGGCGAATATATGAGTAATGAGAGTTTATATGAGATTAAAAAAAATGCCAAGTAATTTCCAACCGTTTCCGATCTATACTTAACGAATAAATTAAATTCACATTAAACATCAAAATATTTTTCCTTATGCGTGAATTTAGCGGCTGTTTTTAAATTCCTAAAGATTTATAAGTCCCTCCACAATGACTTATCGTGAAGTACTTGACTTGGGGACTTAAGGACTTAGGGGGAGGGGGGGGGGGGGGTGTAAAGCAATAACTTGATAGGACTTGTCGTACATGGGTTAGATCAATTCGGTCACCGACACTACGGTGAGTTGTTCGTATAATTTATTAAATTTGTACGTTATTTTATTTTAGCCAAAAAAGTTTACAAGTTCGACGGGTGCACCGCAAGGAAAATACTGAGAAAACATGGACCGTACGTGGCGACGATGAGAGTTTACGAAGATTTTTTGACTTATAAATCCGGTCCGTTTTATTTCAATTAATAAGTGCATATAATGTGTATACTAATCGACGGGAAAAATGATTTTTATTATATTTTTTTTTTCATAACTGCAGGCGTATACCAACATGTCACGGGGGATTATTTGGGACTATTGTCAGTCCGGATGATCGGCTGGGGCTTAGAGAGAGGACAAGCTTACTGGCTATTGGCCAACTCGTGGGGAACTTCTTGGGGAATCGATGGTTTCTTCAAAATCAGACGTTTCGTCAACGAGTGTTGGATAGAAAATTTCAGATACGCCGGCATACCGAAATTATAACATCCCGTTAAATAACCATGTAATACTCGCTCTGTTACTGCATATACTTTTTTATATTATGACATATAAATATTATACCGAGTCGCTACGATTATTGTCAATTTAACTAGTTGATTAATTCAAATATTACGTTATTTAACCTTAAATATAAGATCCATGTTTAAAATTGTTCAAATAAACTGTGAAAATCAAAAATACACCTGTAGATCAACACAATGAATAGTTCCGTGTTTGATTGAAGCGGATCTTCTATCTAAAAATGGTGTTCTTAATTATTATATTCGGAGACTTTTGCACGAAAACTGTGTCCCGAGAGCGCCCGGATGGGGGAAGACGAGGTAACAATAAATGTAATTTGCCCTCTCGTCTTCGCAAAGTACATTAAACATATATTTGTTTATTACAATATAGGCGTGCGTAGAATACGTATATGTCCGAAAAATATGAGAACTTGTACAATAAGTGTTTTAATTCAAATGGATCATAGCAAATTAATAAAATTGCATCCCTTTCAAAATACTCCCCATCGTTAATAATGCATTTATCTCATCTCCGTTTCCATTGTCTAAAATATTCCGCAAAGTCCCGAAAAGTCCGGATTTTCGGTTTCCTTGTCCGTTTCGTGTTTGATATGGTATCCACGTCGTTTCAGTGCCGTTCACCCCGCAACGCCGCTTTGCATTTTGGGAACAGAAATAATTCACAAAAAAATGTATAGTCCGTAATAGAGTACAGTCGTGTTACGGTATCTGCTGCTTATATTTAGTGTTCGAAGTATTTCGCTGTCCGAATAATCAGTTGGCGCTGCAGCAGGCAACACGTTAGCCGCAACAAAAGTGTATCAAAATCATAGATAATAATTATTATTATTTTAATTATTGATAAACTTTTTACCAATAAATGACAATACATTTTTCGACCGAAAATACATTTATGCACAGCCATACAGAGTGAATCACTAAGCGTGCTCGCCGCATTATTTTGGTTAAATTTTGCATTTACTCGAATTCGGATTTTTGGAATTTTTCAACGTAATCAAAGCCGATATTTTTTAATACTAAACGTTGCTCTCTTCGCGGTAGTGCCCTCGTGCTGCCCACACGTATATACAGTTTGTCGAACCATGTCTGAGGTATTTAATTTTGAAAGTTTTGCACTTAATATTTATTCGGTAGGTACTCTGTGGTAAAATTGTAAAACTTGGACAGAAATGCTTGAAAATTTAACAGGAGGTTCATTAAGAAAAATACTTTATAATAAAACAAAATTAAGTTTAATGTAGTATTTTTTTTTTTATAAAGGAATTTTAATATCATACTTTTACGAAAATCATTAGGTTATAGGTTATGTGAAATACACTTGGCGTCACAAAAATCGCACCTATTGCAAATTATTTTTCAAAGTAATTTTAACTACACTTAATCATATATAAGGGTACTGTTATGATATATCATTTGAAAGGTGATGAAATAAACTTGAAAAATAAATAAATGGTATGTGTTTTTGTTTATCAGTGTTTTAAAAAATAAGTTAATCGTGGAAGAGGAAAACAAATTGTATTGAGGATATACAGTTTTACAAACAGAAACAGACAATAGACTTCATATAAAAATAAAAAACTGTTACTAAATGTTATTTAAAATCTAGTGCTACTTCCTCTTGCCTTAATTACTGCTTCCATACGATCTTTCATAGAAGTTATGAGTCGTACGATGCGTTCTTGAGGAATGTTCACCCATTCCGCAACAACAGCATATTGAAGATCTTGGAGGGTTGTTGGGGCAGGATCATGTGACCGCACTCTTCGTTTTAATTCGTCCCAGAGGTGCTCAATTGGGTTTAGGTCTGGACTTCTCGCTGGCCAGTTCATAACAGGGATCCCAACCTCTTCCGTATAATTTTTTACAATTAATGCGGTGTGGGAACGAGCATTGTCGTGCATTAGTATAAACCCATCTCCAACAAAACCCGCATATGGTACCACATGCTCTTCTAAGATCTCTGTAATGTATCGATCAGAAGTTAGCGATCCTTGTACTCGAGCGCCACCAGTTCGGGAAACGCACACAAGCTCGGTCTTGCTATCGATGGAAATGCCGCCCCAGAACATGCATGATCCACCTCCATACTCCACTGTCTCCTCGGTACAGGCTTGTGCAAACCGTTCGCCCTGCCTTCGGTATACTTTCCTTCGTTTGTCATTGCTGTATAGACACACCCTTGTTTCATCAGAAAAGAGCACAGTCTTCCATTGGTCAAGCGTCCAATTAAAATGTTCACGGGCAAAATGTAACCGTTCTTTGCGGTGCTGTGCAGTCAGTTTCGGACCGGTAGCAGGTCTGCGGGCCACAATTTTTTGTNGGAAAATCGATTGCGCAAAGACGTCGAGACAATAAAACGATCATCTCTGTCCGTTGTGCAGCGTTGTCGGCCTGATCCATGCCTCCGGATAAAGCCACCAGTCTCTTGATAACGTTGGAAAACTCGTCGAACGGCAAAACGGCTCAAGTTTAGTTGCCGTGCAACATCACATTGACGCATCCCTGATTCCATTAATGCTACCACTTGAGCGGCTTCGTTAGCAGTTGTATCCATTTAATACGTTATTTTTTGAAATAATATTGTTTAAAGAGTATTCACGTACGTCCTTTTCAATGTTTCGGAAGTGAATGACCTGCATTTGACACTTTAAACTGATTTTTCTATAGCCAAAGAATATAAGATAAGATAGGAGTATATTTATACATTTTCCTAATGCACCGTATACTCGGAATATGATTATTGTTTATGAAATGAAACTACTATCGGATAAGAGGTCATTAACTGTACTTTCAATTTATATCTTTATTGTTTGGATTAAATGTTTTGGTTCGGGGAAATGCCCGTTTGAAACTTAATTTTAAAGATGTGCGATTTTTGTGACGCCAAGTGTATTATGTGGAACAAATCTAATTTTTCAATATTTTTTTTTTTTTTTTTTTTAACATATTTATAATGCCGATTTAAGAACGATAGTAAAATCAGAATTAAACGGACTGATTAAGTTTCGAAATTATAGCTTTTTGGAGTTCTGATATTATACGGATATTATATGTTAAGCTAAATAACTCTATATTGTCCATAAAGCATATCTGTCGTGATCTAATGATTATTTATGCCTATTTTCATTCTAGCGGTTCCGAGTTCAAACCATTGTGTCGAACAAAAATTGTCTGCGTTGTTCTTCCCTTTTACCGAAACAAGGAAAAAACATATGCATTTTGGATGTACCTATAGACCCAAGCAATCGCCCCCTTAGACTTTTTAATCTCAAAATACTCCTCGATTTGTTGTGCAAACTTTTCTACCAGAAATCTTGCTCTGATAGAAAATTTTATCTCCGAGGTAATTTAAAGAGGTCATTTTTTGATTTTTCAAACGGCTTTCATAATATCTGGAAAAAACCGGGAAAAAATGTAAAATGTACGAAATGTAGATATTAGTAACAAAATATCACGGTTTTTTTTTCTGTCCTCTACTTTTCTACCAGTAATTTCGAACCGATTTACAATGATAGCACAATGACAAGAAATCTTACTGAGAAGTTACTCTAGGAGGTCATTTTTCGATTTTCCGAGTTTTCCCGGCAAATGTGATAAGCCAGGAAAAAACATGGGAAAAACGGGAAAATCGGTACAATATTAAACAAATATAATTAATGAAAAAAACATAAAGCCTATTTAATTATTTTACAATCCGAACAAATAAGGGGTTCAAATAAATACATCGGAGTTCGAACGTTATAGAGGACGTAGCCACAAAACGACTAAACAGCGAATAGGTCACGCATGACGTGCATATGGATGGTTGCCGAGAACTGAGCTAGAAAGTACCAATACCACGTGAGGGAGAACACAGCTTGGCTGCCCGAGATCAATATGCGAAAATAGGAAATCTATAATGAACTTACTGTTTAACTAGTATACAAAGTACAGTTAAGTATAAAGCGTAGTGGTGATTGTACCGCGCCGGTAACTACTATACCTAGCTATATAGGTGTATGTGCATTACTCCATTGACTATGGTTTTATCAAGAAAGGGATGTGAAAGGTTTGTTCGTTACGCGGTCACTTAGCAGTCATTTCTTCATTCGTAACGTTGAGAGTACCCACCACTGCTAGATTGCCTGAGATTATATGCAAACTGAAGCACGGAGTAAACCCGTAAGACTTGACGTTGGAGAGCGAAAACTGGAGTTGATTATTGTGCGTTTTTGTAAATGACAAAGGCGAACTAGAAAAAACTTGAATGCATTTAACTATTGACCTTTTAACTATACAGAATACAGTTAAGTATAAAGTGTAGTGATAATTGTACCCCATCGGTAATTGCTATACCTACTCGTTAAATTTTCACATTTCGCTGTTCGCTGAGCGTGATTTCTATTTGAATTAGATCACGGATATCGAGTCCGTAATACCTATTATACCTGTTAACACAGGTGTACGTGTATTACTACGTGGACTACGGTTTCATCAAGAAAGGCATGTGAACGATGTGTACATCATGCGGTCGCGTATGAAATCGTACCTGACGTTACGCACTTTTTAAACGTAAGTAGTTTATTTATATGTATGCATACTATAAATTTACTAATATCGCCTAGTTAGACAGGTGGATTAGGCCTGGCGACCAGCTGGGGATACCACGAAAAAAAAAAAAAAAACGGGCCGAGTGTAATACCTCATGCTTATTATAATAATATGTGTACCCGAGACGTACCGTTATTTTATGAGCTAAGGTGGTGTGGAAACTTACACGACTACTCCGAATCGAAATAGTCATCGCGTAAATTAATTTCATGTTATTGAGAAAACTACAAGGGAAATCGAAAAATAATCATCCGACGCGCCATTACTAAACGAAATTTGACTTTAGAAAAGAGCTACAATTGACGATCGGCGAGCAAGATTGCTTTTCCTTCCTTCGGTCCGTGACCTTTCCGACTATAATGTTATAACTTACATGTGTCCAGTTTTCATTATATTAATGTAGAAATAATCGCCGTCGGTTAGCTGCAGCGATAAAACAGCAAATCGCTTTGTATAATCACCAGGCTTAGGGACTACTCTTTCTAAATATCATATAAATACGCATGCAAATATATTTTAAAGAAATAACCGATTGTGCACTAAAGTATGCTTTAAAAATTTAGCAAACGATGCTGTTACAATACTTAAAAACTTCATTTTGTTAATATATGCTCTAATGAGAAAAAACATTAAAATATGCGCAATCAAATTTTGGATTTAGATTCTATATAAAATGAAATTAGAATGTCTATTTGACTCCAACAAACCGACAGCCAGAAGCCCCGCACGGGGGCGGGGGCTTCGGTTTTCGATTAGAGCGATTAGATTTTTATACCTGGCGTCCCTAGCTCCCTTTTTTTCTGTTTTTATTTAGATAATATTGTAATAAAAAGAAAAAATTAATAAAAAATACATTATTGTTATTATCAAAATGATGCTTATGAATCTTGATTTTTTTTAATATTTCACGGTATAAATTGTATTGTTGGGAGTTTAGTGAAGGGCCCGGACAGACATTCCAGTACATGGGCCCGGAATTCGATGCGGGAGCCCCGCCGGCAGCTATTAGGATTCGCGGCTTCCACGGCCGACCGCTGTTGTTCGCATCGGCAATTGCGCGGGCGGAAACGAATTTATCATCATATCCTTTAGACCGCCGGTTCTGTCGGCCTTTTCTGTATACGACACTCTAATTTAGATCCATAAAAACGACGACACGCCTAAAACAATTAACGCGATTAGAATGACTCATACAACGCTCGCAACACGGCGATTACGACTGAGGACACGCTTACTTACGTACGAATAAAAACAATTTTCTTTTGACGACACTCATCACAGTGGCGCGCGGCACAACAGTGCGTCGCGACGCGCCAGTTGAGAACCACTGCTTGGGACCTTCAGATATCATCGGCCCGCGATTGAGAGATGTGGATAAAAATAGCGAGACGCCTTGCCGCGCCGCCGACAGTAAAATTTTGATTTACAATAAAAAAAACAACGTCCCGCGCGTTTATCGTCAACGACAACATGGATCAAGGAACAAAATTGTGCGGAAACTTAAATTTGGCTGATGTCCTCAGTTCTGTAAATTTAAACGGGCTATCTAGTTCTTGCCCAGTACCCACAGACAACTGCGAATTTTTTCTCGTCTTATTTCGACTCTGTTCTCGCTTCTTGTTCTTTTAAAAGTGCCCGCTCACCTACACCTTTTTCCTATTATAATTTTCCTTATTAGCTCTATTTTAGAGTTCTTTTCAGTGCTTTGGTATCCCTACAGTGCTCCTGGGTCTTGTGACATCCAGAGAATACATTGTCGTTTTTTTTGCATATGGGGGTTATGTTTTTCATCAAGCATACCCAACCACGAATACACTAACGTCCTTAGCTACCTTTTCCTTGATTCACTAGCGGACAGAAAAATGTCTGCTAATATTCTTATCTTGAGCAAGCTACTTGATAGCTCCATTAACTCTCCTTCTCTCCTCTTCTCTGGTAAACTTCGGAGTTCATCCTCGCTTCTTGTGTTTTCACGCTTCCTTTTTTGTCCCTACTCGTTCTACAAACTTTAGTCCCTTACGTAGTATGATGTGATTGGCTAACGAAAACCCCTAATTTTTAAATGTAAAAAATGTTCTAGTATTTAAAATAAGGGTTCTTTTGCATTGCCATTATAAACTACCATTGTGCTCGTAGTATTATGGTTAGTGATTAACATTTAAGAAACCTAACGCCTAAGCTATTCTCTACCCACTAATTTCTTTGTAAAACTGTCCGTTGAGGCGTAAATCAATAAATATAAATATAAAAATAACAGCCATAATTTAAATAATGACAGTTGAAAACATTTTATGAATACGGACCCTAACCTAACCCTCCAATATTTATTATTTTCATAATTTATAAAGAGATAGATAGGCGTAGTTTTATTATGGTAAAGAATATTTAACACCATAGTAATTATTGGTTGGTATTTCTAAGATTAGGGTTGTGGGCACACCTTTAATAATTATGTCACCATGCTATTAATAATGCTAATAATAATAAAAGTGTTGTCAATCCTCTTTTAACGGTTATAAAATTTACTATACAATCTACTAACCAGGTTACAGTAACCAGCTCACAAAAACTTATCAGAAAATAGTTTACCCACAAGTCGCATGAGTCCTCAGTAATTAATAAATAATAAAGTAATTAAAAAATATTTAAGAATAATTAAAATACATTTTGTTCTTAATTATAATTACAGAGCTGTTTTACCAATTATACATTTTCTCTCAATAAAATAATATGTATTTTTACCAGTGGTGTCTCGGACTACAGTGCATAGGGAGAAGATGAACTTTCTAAAAAATATCTTAAATGAATTATTAGGTTTCTAAAGTTTGAATTTTGGTTAATCACATAGTCTGTTTTATAAATATTGTTCATTAAAAAATATCAACACAAATTATTTTGACTATGCACATAATCAATAACAAAATTATTTTTTTTTACCATAACTTCATGCAATATAAGAAACAGATGGCGACCAAGTTCTGCGCATAAAAGTGGCTTTACTACATGCGTGTGCTTTAAACACTACCATTGCGGTACATCAGCAGGAGCAACACATTTCGTTGACAACTGACTAGAACAAATAACTTACAATGCATTATGTATGTACTCTAGCATCACATGTAGTATGTCGTTTTGGTCACTGACCGACCAACAGGTGGTTAACCAAGCAAGAAAAACGGGTGTAGCCTAACCGTCAGCAACGAAAACGCCTAGTCGCCGTCTACATATCTTATTTTGAATAGAGTATAAGTATCTTATAAAATTATGTATATACCATCTTGTGTAAACTTTACGAGCCACCACTGGTTTTGACTATCGATTTATATAACCTATTATTACTAGTATTTTAACCACAGGCTTTACAGGCTCTAAACCTGGTGTTTAGAATTATTTTCATTAAGTAACACAAATTAAATATATGAATAATAATAAATAAGTAATAGACTAATATTAGATAAAACTTCCAACTGTATTCAATCTAGAAATGTTCAAAGTTCATTATTTACCCATTAAAGACCAGCATTAACAATTTCTATATTATTCAGAAGTAAAATCAAGAATTAAAATACATTTTAAGTTATTAACAGAACATGACAAAATATTATGTTTTACTTTTTAAAAAAATATGAAGATTAGTTTCATTATTTTAAATTTAAATTAAATTGTATTAAAGATCTGACACATTTAGGAAATTGGACTGCTGAAATAACCAAAATATTCAATATAAATAAAATTAAAAACATATTATGAAATATATATATATATATATAGATTAATTTCTTCAACTTAAAAATATTATTTACAGCTGAAATATATTACAATAATTTATTCTTACTTTATTAAATATATTTTGTACAATTTTTATGATCTACAAAAGGAATTTGTTTAAGTTATCTAAATTTACAATAACAACGAAGGTCATTTGTTCTTCAATTGACTGCATATCCATTCTAGACCTTGATACAATCTGCATCATAAAATATAAGTAAAGCATTAATTTTAGTGACATTTGGTCGAAGGTGTAAAATATATTTTTATTTTTATGCTGGACTGTAGTGCCACAAATGATCACACAATCAAAGGTATACACCACAATCCATCACAAATAATAAATTTACCCGTTAATTTTGGTTTTTAATTCAATATAGAGTATCAATATAGTATAATAAGTATAATAAGTTAATACAAAGATGTCAGCATAGGTGTTTTTTATTATACAAATCTTGTATAAAAAAATCATTTTTTTCTCAAAAAGAATATAGTTTAGCATAAAACAGAATATGATGAAAATTGAAGTCCTCAATAATCTAAGGAATCATATACTCATTCATTTTTATACAAATATTTTTTTTCAATTAAGAAAGATGAATTTTATCATGAATATCTATTTTTTTTTTATTCAAATAAATAAAAAAAAAACTTATTAGAACTAATTGAACTATCTATGCTTTTATTTTTTGGACCTTGGCAGTTATATATAAATATATATAGATCTATATAATACATACATACATGCACACATACAGTAATGTTTTACCATGAAACAGCAATTATTTAAAAAGACTTCAATTAAAATTAATTTTTGGATTTTTTTAGCAATTATATAGAATCATTTACTCTTGCTTAACGAACTTATTTACAATATTTTCAAAATTTGACACCATAAGAATCCGTACACTATAGCACGTCGACTTTTGGTATTCAAGTTCTATCCCCATCCTCCCCCCCCTCCAATATTCAAACAAGATTTTAAAAGAAAATATTTGTCTAAAAATGTTGTTATGTGTAACTGCATAACATTAATATTGTTTGTTCATGAATTATAACACTGTAAAATTTAGGAGGAGTTGGAAAAGGTAATATATTTTCTTTGCAATTTTATATTATAATCTTCCCCTACTCCTCCGATCTAATTTTTAAACTGTTTATCTCATAAACAGTATATTCAATATTTGTGATATGCGTATCAATTTTAATAGTAAAATATTATTTTTTCCGATTTGTGGAAATATAGGGGAAGTGCTATTTTAAAATCATAAATGATTGTGTGGTTATGGTGTTTAGAATAAAGGTAAAATGTAAAAACTTTTTATATAATTCAACAGATTTATAATGAAAAAATCCAAAATCAATTTTAATCAAAATCTATATGGATCATAATGTAAAAATTATCCTGTGTATACATATGGATAATATTAATCAAACAAATTAACTGCACTAAGTAGATTGACATAACTTAAAGGGATTGGTGCCGAATTTCCAAACTGTCTACAATTTTGTAAAACTCAGAAAAAGGATTTCACATTTTAATGACCACCATATTTTCCACTAATGTACTATCCAATACCTAATGAATGGGAAGAGGTTTTTTTTTTTTCTATCTACAAGTATCAATCTTTTGCCAACTATTCAGACAATTGTAGTTATTAGAAGAAATTTCTGAAATCACATTTGAATTCAAAAAGTTTTAATGAAGAAATATATTTTGAAATTAACTTTATTTCATTTTTTCAATATTAAAATTCTAAAAAATGATATGTTGAAAGGTTGAGAGTTCAATTACAGAAAAAAAAAAAAATGGAAAAGCCATATTCAAGTAAATTTCATGCATATTCAAGAATGATTTTAGAAATTTAATCAAAATACTAGGACAGTAGATACAATTGGCAAAATACAGGTATACTTTGATGGAAAACACAGCTAGTATCGAATAGCTTTACAATATACTGGTAAAAAAAAAAAAAAAGAATACGCTACATTTAAGCATGGTCACTTACCCTTCACCAGTCAGTGCACAACAAGCTTGAATATGCCACTGTTGTTTCTTAATGGAAGTTAAGTTTAAATGTTTACTGATCTCTGCAGCAGTTAACGCCCCTTTCATGTCTTGTTTATTGGCGTAAACAAGAACAGCGGCTGAAGACAATTCTTCGTTGTTCAAAACCTTGTACAATTCTTCACGACTCAAGTCTAGACGACTGCGGTCTGTCGAATCGATTACTACTATTACAAACTGAAACGTAAAAATACATAAACTATAGATACCTAAAATGAAAATAACAGTAACGAAAGAATTGTTAGTTGACAACCTTCCGTGACAATATTATTGAAACTAAATCTACATTATAATATTCCTTGATATTTGACAATAACAGCCCTGTTTAAACACGATTACCCTACCTAATCGCGTATACAATAGGATGCCGTTATCAATAGTTATGATGGGAAATCGGATAACGAACGGGTAAGCACGCAATTTATAATTGACGTTTGAATGATCACGGACGGGGGTACATACCTCCGTGTTGCAATAGTAGGTGGACCAAGCGGCTCTGAGGGACTGTTGTCCTCCCAAATCCCACATGATGAAGTGTATGTTGTTCCATACGACCTCTTCGACGTTCGAACCGATGGTCGGCGAAGTGTGCACGACCTCGTTCATTAGGAATTGATACAATATGGTCGTCTTGCCCGCATTGTCGAGTCCAATGATGACGATCTTGTGTTCTGCGACAATACGAAACAATAAGCGTTTGTGAACTGGGGCATAATAAAGTTGGCGGACGCCGCCGGGTACGGGCGAAACGGCGGTCGAGGTCCGAGGAGAGAGATTACCCGGGTGCCCGGGTGCAGGTACTTACCTTCGGTTCCGAAATAACTCCATATTTTCGAAAACAGGAGGCCCATGGCGCGGCGGGCTGAGAACAAAACGTCACGATGATGGCGGAAAATTAACGAAACTCGACATCACCGGGCGTGTTTCGGTCACCGAACGGACGTCGTCGACGGGCGAAAAGCGAAACGTCCGACCGCCCGGACAGTACCGATTCTCGTCGGCGCGCTCGACCGTTGATGGCGCGCGCTGCCGCGGAGTACGCGTATGCCCGTCGCGAGATTTACTCGACTTCCGGGGGCAGTCCACTTTCACTTCGCACGGGACGGCGGCGCGCGAAACGCGAAAACTGGGGTAATTACGAGCGCGCGCGCGACACACTGCCACACTGAACGATTTGTTGTTATTAGTTTTTGTTTTTGTTTTTATTTTTTCCTGCGCTGTTGTATCGACCGCGGTCGAGAGCGTTTACACCAGCGGGTGTTTCACGTGTGAAACGAGTTTCAGCTGACGGTCAGGACGCACGTCATGTCCCGCCGGAGGAACGCGGAGGTCGTCGCTGCTGCCGGTGCGGCCGATGTCTGTGCCATTGATGCCGCCGCGATTACGGCCGTTCGGACGGATGTTGTCGGCGTACAGTACGACGACCGCATCTATAAAACGACGGTCCGGGCGAACACTGCGGGCGTACGGACAAAGTCGACGTCGAACGACCGATAACGCGCGACACGCAGCAGAACAAGACGATTCGGTTCGGACCGGGGACGGACGAACGCACGCGGTACGACGGAGTGCAATAATTGTTATAAATCCGCCGACGACGTGATAATAACACAACGGCGAAAATAATAATAACAATAATAACAACAACAAACGGTTGATACCAGACGGCACGAGTAGATTCCGTGATACCACGACAACGAACGAACTGCGGACTGTCGGACTTCGGTTTGTTACGTTCGCTCGCTGCGAAACGGACGAAAAACCGCGACCCCCGTCGCCACTCCACCGCCGCACCGGCCCCCGCGCCCGTTCGGTCGTCGCCGACATACCGCGACTGATACCTCGGCGTGTTCGCGTTCGGAATCCCAGTGCTGCCACCACTCGTTCCCTCGTCGTTTTAACACCGCACAACGCGACGGGCTCGTTTAACCGAATCGAAAAAACATCATTATTACCGTCTGCGTTTCCCGACCCCGTGCTGGATGCAAACAGGTGAAACGAAACGACGGCACGAAAATTATTTTTCGATACCGACGCGTCTAGCCCACAAACCGAGAGCCGAGAGCCAGTGAAAAACGAATTAAAATGTCCGTTTGCCGTACCTGTTGCGTCTCCCATCATCGCCGGTCTCGTACGGCAACCGATAGTTTATTTTGCTTCACTGTCGAATAAAATATAACAATATAACACATATATGTGTTATAATTTAAAGAAGAAAAAAAAAAAAAAAAATGTAATTAATATGTAAATATACACCCGCTTACTTTTCGGGCACGTAGCCGGGACGTTTTCGTTTCAAAAACATAAAACTTGTCACCGACTACCAAAATAATTGTACTAATAATCCGATTTTTCGGCGAGGAGTTCAAATTTCGGCCAAGTGCCAGCCACTGTTTGTTATTTCAAGGGCCCACAACAACAACAACAAAAATAAAGCGTCGCGGGCCTCTAACCCAAAACAGAACGGTAGGCTTACGCGGTACGCCCGGTACACTTCTCCGTCGTCGTTCTCGTTCGGCATGCATTTAAACGTGTTGTTTCAGGTACCGCCGGATTCCGTCCGAAAGACCCGCCGGTAGGCGTCTCGTCATTACGTACTCCCGTTTGAAACGACGCAATGCCCGCGTGCGTCGCCCCCGTTTTACAAACGCAGGCGCCCAGTGACGTGAATTGGCCTGAATTGCTGGTGGCGCAGAGAAATATTGTAATTTTTAACCCGTCGACACCTCCGACTTCCTTTGTGAATCGCCACCTAACAAACAATTCGTATTTTTTTCTGTAGGCGTCAAAATTTGTTTCTGCGAAACTAGTAGATTACGGGCGTTGAATTATTTTATAAATTATCAAATAAAACTTTATTTTTATAACATTTAAAGAAAAACTGTAGATATATGGACTTTTGATAACAGAAACTATAGGTATACACATTTTTATGATTTTCTGGTGGCGCAAAAATATAAACTCGCGTCACCACGTTTCGAATGTTTCATCTGCTATATTTGCACCACTCAATTTACGCCACTGTACGTACACGCTACGATATGGGTACCGAATTTCCTTTGAGCAAGAACAGTGTTTCGCTGTGCTGGTTCCGACATTGAAATGTGTCCAAAATTTAACGTTGAACGCGGTGCCTACCTACTCGTATCTCGTTTGAAAATTAAAACATCGAAAAAATAGTGACGACGTTGTCCGGGTACGTTCTTATCTTTAAGTTTGATAATAGGTCAATTCGCTCCGATATTAGCAACGGACAATAGCGCAATATCGTCACCGTCGAACGCGAATTCGCCATGCCGTACGTTTTGTAAGAACGGAGATAACACATACGCCCTCAGAACGTGAAATTCGTCGACGGCTTCGGTTTTTTTTTTTTTTCGTTATCGCGGTTCCGCATTGATTTTGTGTACCGCGGCACGTGGATGTGCATTACGTCCCAACAAATACGATACAGACGGTACATAGATGTGCTATTTTTTTATTTTTTTTTTTCTCTGTTATTACCTACCTGCGATTTACAATCGATTTCAGCCGTTACGTTATAAATGACCGAGCACGCCGCGTCCGTCGGGTTTATGGCTCGGTCGCGTTCCGAGTGCGAACAACAATTTTCGATCGCGGCTTACATTACGGTCGCGCACTGAACGGATGTAGTGGGCGCATCGGTAACATAATGCGAATTTACATTTTACACGCGAAACGATTTTTACCGAACGTGACCGAACTGACGGGGCATTTGTCAAAGAGGTTTTCTGTGTCCAAATGACGGACGTGCGCAGTTAAGTAGGCGCCGCCCACATCGGACCGTGTGGTCGGTATAAAATGCGATTTCGCTGAAAAATAAACAGTAAAAAAATGTAATAATAATATTATTGAACGGGCAGATTTCGTCGCGAAACGATTAATCACGGGTGCGGGTAATTACTCTCGCCGGCGGGGAAGGTGGGGAAACCGGGAAGAGTACAAGCGCTCAGACGGGACGCGTGACCCGTCAACCGGCGTGGACGGGTATTCCAAGGGAACGGGAGTGGACTCGTCACGCTGGACATTGTCACTACGGGGAAAATGCCCCGCGAACTGTACCGGACCGGATCCGGTGTACTCGTTCCCTGACAATATCAGTTTTACAACACAATTTAATGACGATCTGTCAATAGGGCAATTATTTCGTGCGTATAATAATAACGGTTAATCGCGTTCAAAACCGTTTGATAAAATAATCGACTGGTAACAATTATAATAAGTGTAATAACTATAAAATTGCGCAGCAGTACAATTTTGTTTGGTTTTCGTGCATCGTATCGCAGCCTCGTCGTTTTTACATAATATTATCGTCCATAATGCGGTGTATAATATTTTATCGCCGTAACAACAATTTAATAGTTATTACGAAGAAAATTAATCGATTCGATTGGCTATTTTTTTTTTTTTTTTTTCCAACTCTTCGGACGGATCATCGTCATTTTTTTTTAATTTTAATTTTATTTTTTTTGTTACTACCGTCCTTGGAAACTGATACGAATTACATTATTATAAGACGTGACCTTATTGTTACGATAGTGTGTGTACTGTAGCGAGTGCCTAATACTGCAACCTAACCTGCGCGGCGTTCCGATTTCTCGGAGCCACGAGAAAGTGGAAAACTATGAAAGTAAACTATCTATACCTGTACCCGCCTATCAAACCGGGTATCTCGTATTCTCGTATTATTGTAATTTAACGGAATTGCCGTTCTAATTCGCGTGGAAAATTGTAATAAATACTGCAGTTGTTATGATATTATATCACTATGTCTCGATGGTTATTTTTCGACGTGACCCCCGGTCCAGTGTTCGGCCAGCTGGATTCAGTTTTCCAACCCTCCGGGCGGCATCAGTTCAGTCCGTCACACCCCGCGAATTATTGCGAAACCGACTGAAGACGGACGCCGTTATACGTTTTTAGGCGACCGAACAGAATGGTCCCTCCGTATATAATTTGCAGTTTTCTCTGTCTCTATTACGCGTAATGTGGCGACAAACGCATTGCGCACTTCAACGATTGCGTGACTCTCTGGTGAAGTTTCAAACGAAAAAGGACCTATTATATAGGTTTTACAAAGAAGAGTATTCAGGCGCTACGCATCTCTCGGCCTAATCATTTTGTTTAAATATTTTCGTTCCTTAATAAGTTGTTAATGGTTAGCAAGTTAAAAAATACAGATATATATTACGCCAGTGGCGTATTTGAAGGGGCGACGAGGGCGATCGACACCCCCCCCCATTAATTAATTTGATTAAGTATTTGCTACATACATTTGCTATATATATATATGTGTGTATACAAAAATCTCAGAATCTCCTTTCGAATGTTTAACATTATTTCTACTAGAAAAGTGTCATCAATTAATAATAATATTAATTTTTTTTAAATATCAACTCGAAAACCACGATAACTACTCATCTATCTATTCGAAAATTCGGAAGTGTATAATATTATATGTACACGCGGAACTCGATAAATTCCAACACATATATATATACACACACGTGTATCATAGCTGCGGTACCCGTTTCTAAGACGAGGACAACGCGAACGGTAATGACGGTATTTTTTTTTAAAAAAACAAAAACAAACGATATTCAATGCTTGTGTTATAACGATTAAAGTATAGGTACCACAAGGTTGGACGAGTTAACAATTTTTTTTTTTTTTTCTACTCGTTATGTTATTTTTTATATACAGACAATATTAAGACGAATATGTAAAAAATTATCGCCATATTTATTGTTTAATTTCGTTACGTTACAAGTTAATTTTCTTAAACTATTCGCTTGTTTCAAAATTAAATTTCACTGTTTTGTTGCCAATCAAAATATCTTCGATTAAAGTATAGGTACCACAAGGTTGGACGAGTTAACAATTTTTTTTTTTTTTTTTTTTGTTTATGACAGACCGATACGCTTCGTGGTAATACCCTCATTGATATTGTGCCTAATATAATATCATGTCGCGTTAATGGCTTTATGAATTTCTAAAACCAGGAAATATCGCTGGGAATTTTACTAAAATTGTAAATCTGTCAATAAGTAAAATAAAGAATTATGAACATTTCCCTTCGAATAAAATTAAGCTTAACTCAAAATATATGAAATTAACTGAAAGTGAACACGGTAAATACACATAATATTAACATATTAATTTAAACGTTAATCATGTGAAAAAGTAACACGTTAATAAACCTTAACTAATATTAACTTGACTGTTCAACATGATTTTTACATTTAACGCGATATTGCTGAATCTTGAATAGATGTATATCGAAGGTTTGTATTAATCAATTAAGAGGACCCCATACGGCACACCCGCATCTACTATTTCAGTCTAACGGGCGACATAACGAAACAATAACGCTACGTATCAGAACATGAATTGTGGCTTAATTGACGAAATTTAAATTGGAGAATATTTTCGAATATTGTGTACGTTTTGTATTTCTGAAATATTTTCATTCAAAAAAGTTACAGCCGTGTTTGTTTTTGATTTTTGTTTTAATATCCGCAGTAAATGCTGGTTTAGTTTTGACTATATTTTAGTAAAAATTAATGCGTAGAGACCACGAAAATATCTGCTTCCTTAAAGTTAGTTAACTGCGGTTTAAACTTTATAATCCCAACCTAAACGTGACAATTTATGTTATACGTAACGTGATTTTGTTCTGATGTTTGTTAGATTAAGATAATAGATGCGGAAGTGGCGTCCTTTCAATTATAATGGTACCACCAAACATATTTTTACAATATTTAACCGTTTGTAGGTTTATCAATAATTCATAGGTGATACGGTATGTTCCTAACATAGGTTGACAGCTGTATGGTTATGTGTAGGTTCGTTATTGGACAATAATAATTATTAATAGGCATTATATTTGATCGAAATACAGTGGACGCCGTTTATAGAAGAATCACGGATATAAGATTCGGTTATAAGACTCACTTTGTGTTGGTTCCAAAATGAGTCTTATAAGCGGCGTCCGCTGTGTATATTCGAGAAAACGCCCATGATCTGCAACACAACTCCGTCGTTAGAATCGAATTCCCCCCCCCCCTCACTTGATTTATTATCGCTACAATATGCTTCTTCTTCTTCTACTACGTCTATCCATCTTTTCCTATGTCTGCCTCTTGGTCTTTTACCTTGTGGCTTCCATTCCAATGCTCCTCTAACTACTTCGTTCTCTCGTCTTCTCATTATGTAGCCTAACCATTGTATTCTTTGACTCTTGATGAACCTTGTTACTACAATATACAGCTATTTTTATTTTTTATTTTTTGTTAAAAGCTCCGAAAATGTCCAAAAACACGATATTTTGGTACAGAAATTCTAGGCGTGAGTGTGGAAAATTGAAACCACACAAAAACACATTCTTAATACTAACTCAATTCACATACAAAATTGAATTCCCTTTAGATTCAGTTAGAGAGTCTGTAATTATGTTGGGGTATTCAAAGTTTAAATAAAAACTCCCATTTGTATTACTTTGATCAACAAATTCACCATCATCGAATATAACTACATTAATTCCCGAGTTTGAGTTCATTTAGTTCAGAAGAACCCTCTAAAAGTATCCAAAAGTAACGATAAAAAGATAATAAATAATATATTGTAATGTATCAAAGACACGAATCACAAAAAACAAAATCTAAGGATTAAAAAAATACTTCCTCCCACAGTCTCAGGACTTCATACATAATTTTATAATACTATTATATAATTTCGAATGCGTATTATCTAACGATTTTACTGAAAAATTTTAAGTGAGTTTGATTTCTGTTCCTTTAATCATAATGAAACCTGTAAAAGGGGAGCTTGTTATTTGAAAATCCTAATTGTCTACACATTTAGGGTATATGAAGTAGGTAGAGATAAAAAACAAAATATAAAGTTAAAATAAAGCTTAGACGATTACATTATAAAAAAAAAAAAATAGAACTCAAACTCAAACTCATTTAAAATACTCCGAGAAAGTCGATGAATAAAACAATCATATAAACGAAACGTTCTTCCCGAAGGTGTATTCCGATTAACTAAAATTTTTCTTCTTCTTAATCAAATATGTATACAGAACCTAATAATAATAACATCTAGAAAGTCGTAGCACGCGGAAATTATTATCTCGCATCATGTTTATGTAGGTGCTGTTTTAAAAACTATGTTAACCATGTAGATAAAAAACAAACATATTATACAGTCTCATTGTAGTAATAATATTATATAGTCTTGAGCCCTCGACCTTCAAATTTCACGATAAACAGAAATATGAGTATATTATGTAATGCGTATTCGCGTTTGCGCTTATAGCGTGCGTTCTGAGTTGTTATTTTTTGTTATGAATTTATGATAAGAATGATAAGATAATATACTTCCACGTAATATTTAAATATTTGTATTTACATGACGTCAAGACGTATAATAGTGAGCGAGTATATTGGCTTTATTGTAATATATCTAATATGCACGTTTTTCATTAGAGAAATCTTGCCAATCATCAACTTTAAGGATGGTTTCTGGCAGAAAATTTTGTCCATAGTTGGGAGGTCATTTTTTCGATTTTTTTTTGTAGTTTTACAATAAAATGAAAAAAATCGGGGAGAAAAGTAGGTAAAACGGAAATATTGACACCATAAACGTTTCTGTTATTTTCCATTTTTTTTTTTTAATATTAATTGTAAAATTTAGTAAAAATTAATCACTGACGGCGGCGCCGAACCTATATGTTAGATGTAGTGACTGCCACGCCTAATTTA